AGCTTCTAATCTGACGCCGTATTAAATCCCAACTCAACTCGGTAAAGTGAGTGAGTTACTTTAATTCGATTTGTCACTTTATGTAACACCTTTTTATACGTCCATCATTTCGCAGTTATTATTATGGAGTATAGCTATAATACATGCTAACTATCCAAAAAATAATATTAAACGGATAACTTCACGCTTGATATTTGACACAAAACTGTGTGAAGTATTATACTATATAAGAATTCCAAAAGTAATTTGTGTACCAAGTGTTCGCTGACCCGATGATTTTCCTCGGGCGAGTCAGCACCCTAGCAAAACAGGCAATTTACGCGAGCCTATAAGTAACAAGGTTCATTAAGGCCATTACAAAGTGGCGCGGGCGTTCTTAAAGCGAATGGCCCTCGAGCTTGCAGCTTTCATAATGGCCGTACGAGCGGCCGAGGTGCCGCGCGCGATTTAATGAAACACCTGGAGAGGTCGAGCCTGCTTCCGTTGCATTAATCTCGCCGTAGCCGTCTCTCGCCGCCTTTGCCCCTGCCCCCGCCCCCGAACCTAGCTACTCCTCGCTTTATTTTCATCTAAAACACCGACCTGCCCATTAGACTTCGAATATTACTTAACGCCATTCATATCTTATCCAGCTAAATTCTTGGAAGTCATTTTAAAAACATTAAACTCTTAAAGTAAATTTGCATAAGCGTGCACCACATAAAAGCAAAATGAAAAATTTCTGTTCCGCCCTGTGTGATAGCAGCGGATTGTTTGCGTCTCGAGATTAGCGTTTAAAAGTGGGCAACTAATATTAAAGCCAGGATAAACAACAGCTGACCGGCCGGCGGCAGCGGGCGGCACGGCGGCAGAAGTGGCCGAGATAACTCCGCGCACGAATGCATATTTTAACGTTAAGCTACGGCACCGCGATGCAAACTCGTTGGAAACTTCACCGGAGTGAATAATTCTTAGTTTAAGGCATCTTCAAAAGTGTGTTTTTTGCCCGGCCAGCTTGTATTGTTCTCTCGGCGTGGAAAATAAATATTTACAATTTAATAACAAAAGGAAGCGAAGCGCGAAGGCGGCTCAGGGCTTGAGTTGCGAACGTCGCAGGAGCGGGGCGGTCGGCTGCGAAGCCGGCCACAGACGGGGCCGAATAAAAAGTGCGGGCAGCGCGAGGCATAAACACGAGCCCCTCTCGCGTGACGGCTCATTAGACACTCCCCCGCTCTTATATAAATCATTTTAAATTCAAATTCTACTTACATTTAGAATTGACTTTACCTACCTAATTCCCACCCCAGCCGCAAAATTTTGCAAATTAGATTTCACCTTTCCCTTGTTCCGGTTTGTCAAAAAAATCATTTGTGGCATCCGGAATTAAATCATCTTACCTTCTTTCATTTGTTATGTTTTCTTGGCTATTATGAACAGTTTAGTACCGCCAAATGTAAATGTACGAGTAGGCTAAATATTTTTTAAAGTTAATCGAATGATAATTTATCGTTTAATCTATAAAGTGTATCTTTTAAACTTTAACTTATTTTTTGACTGTCTTTTAGACCGTCGTTTAAGTTCGAAATCTGAGGATCCGAGCCTTGTGTGAGCCAATAAAAAATTGTTATAAAACAATTTTATTTATTTTTATCTCTTGCAATTATTGATGAAATAAAAATCCTGTAAAGTTCCACGCGCCTCTAAAAATTTTAAGCATTTGTGATGCTATACGAAGTCTTTGCATTTATTTATATACAGGTGGAGTTGGCACATCTCAGCGGTCGCTTCTATTCCCGTCCGCGTTTGACATCACGAACATTTTTGGCAACGGCACACGGGCGGGTGCGTACAAGTGGGTCCGGAGTGCGGGCACGGAACGGTGTGAACGTGTCATTCATCGAATCACTCGCCCATTGTTTTCCTCGCGTGTCGATTTGTCGCGGCGCGTGTGGGGTCGGCCAATAGTGAAATAGTCTAGTACGGCATAGCGCGCGCGTTACGCTGACCGCACTCTGTCGACGGCGCGTCGCCAATACATCAGATGTGATCGATAGATCGATTAGCGACTGGCATACCTCACTCGAAACGTATTCTCGATATCCTATTTGATTTATACGTTTCCATGCATACACAATACTACAAATCCAATATCGCCGTGCTCGATTGATAACCATTACGTGTAGATGAACGGAATTGATTAGTGCACTTCATACCTATTTCACACTTATGTATTGAAATTGATGATAAGACACACGGTGGAGAAATGGTGTAAGAATAAAATAAGATATAGAGACGGTGGTCGATAGGGGTCGCGGCGGTGGCACGCCGCACACCATGGCGAGCAGGTCACCCCACACTCGAGGGCCGTTCGTTATGCGCGTTACAGTTGCCGAGTGCACTCTCCACATAACCCGAGTCGACGAGACATATTCACTCCTGTCGTTTTGTACCTGTTTTGCGATATCGCTTTCTCCAAACGTAATCCAGCACTACTGGGCATATGAGTTCGAAATTTTTGTACTCTAAAATAAAATTGACGATAAGAAGAAACTGTCTTCCGACATAACCCCTTTTGTGTTGCAAGTGCGCATTGTTGTATGATAAAGGACAGAACGAGGAAAGCGCGCTCGGTTTGCTCCGTACTATCACAAAAATGTTATTAGTTTTGGCCGGTTATTGCCCAGCCGCGACCACTCAACCACACACCCTACAATATTTGCAAACTTCTCCCTATACTAAACTTTATTTTCAATAGTAATGCAATATTGCTTGTACCTACATGTTTTGTTAGAGCTTTAAGAACATAATTTTAGACATTAAAATGCCCCGAGTTTTATAAGTCACTTTTTTCGATTATATCTATTTTAAGATATTTATAATCATCCTGTATTGTTGTTGGAAAAAAGGCCATTTATTTTTTCGGAATATATCAAAAATGCCAACCTAATTGTGAACTGTAAAGCTTATGTAAATTAAGGTAAACAGCAGTTGCATTGATGCAGAAGCGATCGGACAGGAGCGATCGGCTTGCAATTAATGTGATAATAGAGGCGGAGAGAGGGCGGCCATCCGTCTCGGCGACGAGGCCATTTGTATCCGCACGGGCATCCGTCACGCTAATCGCTGTACCTGCATGTTCCCGATATCCGTTAGTTACCCGGTCAAAGTGTAACTTGCTGCCTACCTTTAATAATGAGCACGTTCCTAAAACAAGCATATCGTTTAAATCTAGTCGTCCGAATCGGCAGACCGCGCAAGCGACCCTGACACCGCTGTTCTTTTACTATATGGCCAGTTTATTGTTCATTTAAAATTGGTAGTAGAAGGTTGACGTTACTTTAAATTACATTTTTTAATAGCCTCATTCCACTTTGGTAACTTTTGTTAAATGATCCAGAACTTATAAAGATTTCTTTAGTTAATAATTTTCTTAGTCCTTATTATCGCTGTTGTGGTATTCCTACCACTTCTATTTGTGTATTTAATCCGTTTATAACGAAACATGACATCATAGATGTGAGCAATACGTGGAAAATATAGTTAATGTGCGTGAGTGGGCCGGCACGTGGGCCGAGCTGACCCGCCACCGTTGCGTCATTAATGCTGTGTCTTTTGGCGACAGAATTTCAAATCACTCCACGAACGCGCTCTTCATTGATTCCCAGCGAACTGTAAACTTAATAATTGTCGAACGCCAGCGCCGACAAATGACATTTCGATAGACCGAGTTATCATAGTTACCATTCAAGTACGTGATCACCCATTCGAGTTTCTCAAACGCTTTGCTAGGACTCGAAACTCGGTTATAGTGGACGACTGCGAGTACTAGGAAATAATAACTTTGTCCGTAGTTAGACCAAGAGAAACGTCCGGCTAACATTATGCCTGTCAGTAACAAGTTAATTTAAATACGACCGACCACCCCTGCAGCAGTGGCCTGCATCGCCCAAGTTTAATAACAGCCGAAATACGTATAGCCTGCTTCTGATACGCCGGCGAAAGATCTGCGTCGCACTGTTTGCTTTTAATGTTTCAATTGGACGTTTCAATCCGTCATTCATGTGTCTGCGTCGAAATGATTGAACGATTGTCATGCTCGAGATGAAAACGCCGAGCCGACGATAATCACCATCGAAAATATTCAACAGCTGCTCTAACTCATGGCCTCGACTACCATTGTTTTTTTAATATGCTCCGATCGCAGTGATCTTATTATTCGTTTCAACTTGAAACTAAATATATAAAGTGCAAGTGCTGTTCATCAACAAAAGGAAAGAAACGTCTGTTAGTGCAAACTTTATCAGTAACAAAATCTGAACGGGTTACAGTAAAATTGAACCCTGCCTACACAAGCAAAGTTAGTCAATAAATCACCGCTCAGCTTAGGAGTTCTACGGAGGACATTATCAGAGCGAGTCCCGGTCTTGAACGCAGAGTATTTTATATACAGTTTGCGTACATAAATATTTTCTTTTAAAATACGATAAGCATTATTTCGTTTTTTCTCACAACATAAAATACGGCGCCTCGGCGCCGGCGTGCGGCGATAAAACGTCCGCGAAGCCCTCCCGTCACGTAGTGCGACAGTTAATTACGCGGATGTAAATAAATCATCATAGACGGATGCGGCAGAGGGTTTCGATTCAGAGAGGCAATTATCTCTCGCCTCATTTACGCCAAAAATGAGCGAGTATAACCCGCGCCTCTTCTGCAATTGTATGATATAATTTTACATATACTACGAAAATTGGGAATTCCGGAATAGAAAACATTTAAGAGCGACTTTTCAGTTCAATAGGGCTTGCGAAGCGATGCATAAAACCAACATTGTACCGAATTTAATACTTGCTCGCCGATTTTCATAGTTGGTAGCTAATTTTGAACCACATAGATAAAAGAAAAGTATTTCTTCTTTTCCATATACTATTATTCTGTAATGTTTAAATTTATGGCACCAACATTTTGTGGCGGTAGAAAGAAGAAGAAGAAGTGACTAAACCAATAAATTTTCTAACTTCCAGGGTCGGTGTAACCGCGAGAAGCCGCCCTGCAAGTACTTCCACCCGCCGCAGCACCTTAAGGACCAGCTGCTCATCAACGGGCGGAACCACCTCGCGCTGAAGAACGCCCTCATGCAGCAGATGGGCCTCACCCCCGGCCAGGTGCTGCCCGGCCAGGTGCCGGCAGTGGTTAGTACCGCCATTTTACTCTCACTCGTTCTTGCTCTAAACAAACGCTTCGAGCGATCGGTCCTCATTAGGTACGTACCCAGTGCACGCAACACGCAGCTTTCGGTGTACTATTCGCTACCCTGTACCCTTTAAGCGTTATACTTAATAAAACACGTAGAGTTTGAAAGCATCCCGTTTAAGTTGTGCCACGCGCAGTCTCACCATCAACTTTGTCATTTAGTACATTTGAAATGTAACATGCCTCGGCGATGTTTTCTTTAGGGACTAAATTAACCCAACTGCATAACCAAGTCATCTTAGGAACTTACACGTTGAAAGTTAATGGTAATTTACCAACTTTATTTGAAGTGATACAACTACTCTTGCACAGAGTTGAGCCGCTTCAATTTAAAGTTTAGCAACGAGAGATGTAAGAATTCAGAAGTAGGCGATACGATCGTGCACGAAATCTATGTGACAGTCGCACCGTCAGGCACAACTTAAACTTCGCAACCGATGGCCGATCGCTCCCCACTCGCTTGAGCATGTTTGTATAATTTGTACCTTAAGTGGCATGACTACTCTCCGAACTTACTCACATTTGTATGAACTGGGTAAAGTGGTATTGCAAATTTAATCACCTATAATGTCATGTTCCTCACTGTTCTCACTTTTGCTAAGGCCGCGACCCGTCACACCTCGGTGTCGCTACTCGCATGTCCGTCCTGTAATAGGAAATGATAGAGAGAGTCGCAAGGCGAGTAGTGGACGGCGGAGCGGATGGTACGCGCAGCGACGCAGAGGGGGCGAAGCGGTGTGCTCGCACGATGAGTAGCGTGTTTGTGTGGTTTTGTGTCGAGGTTGGTGGCGTGAGCGGCGCGGGCGCGGCCGCGGGCCACCTCGCCGCGCTGGACCCTATCAGCCTCGCCATGCTCGCTCCGCAGGTAACCGCCGCCGAGCGCCTCGCAGTGCCGCCGGCTACCGAGCGCCACCACCTTCCCGTCTATCACTCTGTACGTCGCATTTGCTCAGTATACATATTCGACTCGCATTGGCCCCTTCCCACTCTCCAGTCTCTTTATTCCTTTATCCGTACTTTTGTGGTGGCCGGTGGATAGCTAGACGGAAAAAAATACCGTAATGCTTCGTTTACCAAATTAATTTTTCGAATCAATCTAAACATGCATGTCACAGCTTATTTTGGCTAATGTAAACTAATAATTTAAAAATAATTAACACTGTATTGTAAGGCGTCACCGGTAATGGTTGCTTTAGTAGAATGATTTTGAAACTCATGCTTGCAAATGAATAATTAAGAATGAAGTGTATAGTTAAGAAATGACGATAAAATGGAAATTCATTATAGTGAGGTAGTGTTACTGTGTTGCGCAGGCGACGTCGCCGTACCTGTCCGGCGTGCCGGGCGTGGGATCGACGTACGCGCAGTACTACGCGCCTCAGCTGGTGCCCGCCATGCTGGGCCACGACCCTGCTGCCGCGGCCGCCTCGCCCCTCGGCGTCATGCAGCAGCCCGTACTGCAGCAGAAGCTGCCGCGCACCGACCGTCTCGAGGTAAGCCACGTCAACACCCTTCATACACACTACATTGGTTATTCTATCTCGCCCCTGACCCGCGTAGTGCTTTAAGATGTTGCCACGTGCGCGGGGGACCGACAAGTAACTATCATTTTCCTCCCATGTTTAAGTTGCGAATATAAATCATTTTACAATATTGTCGGTCTCCTTTGCGAATTTTGGCTATTATGCCCCTAACTGTCCCCGTGTGTTGTGGTGCGAGGACGCCCTGGCCTCGCCCGCCCGCGTGCGCTTCGCGACCAGCACTAGCTTACCCTCCCGGAGAAAGGCACGCACTCTTACTGCAATTGGATTTCTGCCATTACGATGTCCTGCAATTATCTGTATTTCAATAAGTTTTTATTTGAATTTATGCAAAACAATATAAGTAATCGATTTGCATTAATAGTGCGGTGTCACGAGCTTAATATCCGATAACCGTAAGGCTCCCGACGTTGCTGTACAATAATCAATCAAAAGCAAAACGTCAATCAAACCGTATAAACATGCGACGGATGCGTAAAATTAACTAAACTCGAAATAAAATAAATTCAACTAATACCAAGCGGCGTCCGGTGAGATCGACTTTTTACTGTTACAACTGTTACACTCCATGTTGTAATCCCAAAATCATTTAATTCTCAATAACTAAGATTAGATTACTAAATTGCTATAGTCTATCGTCCATCTTGTAAGATGCGTCACAAATAATGTAAATACATGCAAAAGCATTAGGCGCGTGGTTTTAACTGAAGTGGACGTGAAGTGAGGCCGCTAGGGGTCGAAGGGTCGGGGGATGTGCGATGGCGAGCGGGTAGACGTGGGCGACGGCAAGGCGGCGGGCTCGGTGTGAGGCGTGTGTGGTGGTGCAGGTGTGCCGGGAGTTCCAGCGCGGCGCGTGCAAGCGCGCCGAGTCCGAGTGTCGCTTCGCGCACCCGCCGCCGCCCGTGGCTGCGCACGAGGACGGCTGTGTCACGGTGTGCATGGACGCCGTCAAGGGCCGCTGCGTCCGCGACCCCTGCCGCTATTTCCACCCTCCCCTGCACCTGCAGGCGCACCTTAAGGCGCAGGCGCGCGGCGCGGTACGCCACCTGGCTGCACGCTCTCGCCTCGCTCTCGCTTCTCTTCTTCTGCTTCGTCTCGCCCGCCGTGACGCCGCTTATGTTCGCAGAGCTTGTTCTGTTCCGTTCGGTTCGCCCGCGGCCTACACTTGCGCCACGCTTCCGTCGCACTCACGCTTTACTTTTAATTTTTTTCTCTTTCGCATAATATCACCTTACGCCGAGCTTTAGGTGTATTCTGTGCATCTATTACATCGTTATTGTTTCTGTCCCGTCCTGCGACGCTTCGCTTCACGTAGACGGCCGCCGCAGCGCAGCAGCCGGCGGCGAGCGCGACCTCGGAGCCCGGCAAGAAGCGGCCGGCACCCGCCGATCACGAGCCGCCACCGGTACAACCGCCAGCTTTGCACGCTTTCCTCCGCTCCCGTCCCGCCCGCACGCTCCCTTCGCGCACCTCTCCTGCCCGCCCGCGAAGCCGCGGCGCGCGCCCTTTGGCCGCCCCCGCCGCTGGGCGCGCGCCACGCTCGCCTCGCGTTCTTCGACCTCAAGCCCGAAATCTTCCGTTCAACCGTTTGTTTCTCGTTTCAGATGGACATGAAAAGCGTTGGATCCTTCTATTACGATAACTTTGTAAGTATCGTCAAAACCACGCGGTAGCTCAAGTCAGTCAGCTGGAAATAACCGACTCATGGATTAACTCTCGTTTGCAGGCATTCCCTGGCGTGGTGCCGTACAAGCGACCCGCCGCGGATAAGGCCGGCGTACCGGTCTACCAGCCGGCGACCACGTACCAGCAACTGATGCAACTGCAGCAACCGTTCGTGCCCGTGTCATGTGAGTACCCCGCGCCGCCATCGTCCGCCCCGGTGAGCGCGGCGAGCGTGGCGCCGACGCCCTCGCCGCAAGTGGCGCCCGCGCCCGCTCCCGCGCCCGCTCTCCCCGCGCCGCAGCCCGCTAGTCCGCCCGCGCAGCCCGAGCCCGCCGCGCCCGACCCCGCCGCAGTCGCCAAAGAAGTAGCTCAAAAGAACTACGCCGCCGCACTGGCTCTCGCGGCGCAGCACTCGGCCATGGCGCACGCCGCGGCAGCGTACAGCCAACAGATCAAAGCGCGTGCCAGCGTGCCGGGCCTGATGCGGCCCCTGATGGTGCGGCCGGGATGGCCGGGCATGCCGATGCCGGGCTACTACCAGCCGCCGTACATGTACGCGGTGCCCCCACCGGCGCCGCCCACTGCCGCCGCCGCCGCGGCCGCCGCAGCCGCCGCAGTGAACCCCTACAAAAAGATGAAGACGACATAAGCGGCGCGGGCTCGCCGCGCGCGGGGCGGGGGGCGGGGCGCGGGGTCTCCCCGTAGAGACTCATATGTGTGCGAGTGTCTCGCCCCGGTCTGTCGGGGCGGTTAGCGCTAGGCGTTTTGTCACGTTTGTATTGTATCACTGTAAGGACGACGCGGGCGTATTCTACCTCGCGGATGTCTCGGTAGTTTTACGCTATATCTATTCGATTATGTATTTATCTACTCACTTACCGTTATTATCTTATGCGTGTATATTTCTCGTACCTACGATCCCGGTAATAATAACGCTTGAATTGCATGACTGTACGTTTTTTATTACCTCTTGTCGATCGTCGTTAATCGTGAGTATCGTCGTACTGAGAGTTGAGCGCTTGGTCCGTCGATGCCGTCTCCCGCTACGTACACGCTTGTTCTCGAAGACGCTCCGCACGGGTGCGCTTGGCCATTGTGTCGATCCAGTACCTAGTGGTTCCAGGCTTGCAGCAGCAGGCCCGCACCTAACACCGCCGCCTTCTAATTTTCGCATGGAATAGAATCCACCACCCCTATACGTTTGGCTCATCAGGTATTTTTTCTCATTATACTAGTGGCTCCTCGTGTGTGCTATGCGTGAACTTTTCATCGGTAGTGCTGCGGGTGTCGACACGAGTCGCTCCCGGGTTTACTTTCGGTCGCACTATCTTTTTATTTATTTTAACGCTTTCTGTTACATGCCTTCCGAATGACCGCTTCGGCTGTCGTCCGCATTGCAAATCTTTTGTCGCTTTTTGTATCGGGATGGAAAGGCTGTGCGCCGCCAAACGCGCCCTATGTGGTGTACACGGACGAGCGCGGACAGGTAACGTGTGCCGCGTGCCGCTAGCCCCGCCCACGCGCACTGTGCACGCGCACCGCTCCCGGCCGCTTGCCTCTAACTCCGCAGACCGCCTCCTCACTCCGCCCGACGCTTACTAACGCTATATGGATTGTGTTCAACGCGATACCTCCTTTCACCGATTCTAAACCACTGCTCTCCTGGCCCCGGCCTCCAGAGCGCTCGTTCTAATCGGCTAGCTTTTGATGCGAGACAAAAAACGCGTACAGCGTCGAATCAATCGCCTGCAATTCACGCTGATACCTACCGCTGTTTGTTTACCTCTGACGATACGACTGAATGTAACCTAATAGAAAATTTCATGCATCATCATTTTCCTCTATTTGATGTAAAATATTCTGTCCGGTATAAATTACGCGTGCTTTACTTTTTGCATTTTAACGAATATTGTTTTATAAGGAATTGGTTTGACGCTTCTTTTAGAATTAGAAAAGATAAGTTGACTTCGAGCTATTTACAAGATTTAAATATTTTAAAAGCTTTTAACCTGCATATCTATGTATTGAATTCTTCGCAGGCTTCAGGTGCGCTCGGTGACTACGCCTTTTTTGCTAACCTGCAAACTTACCTTTGTTGTGAATTCACCTCTTCCGAATCGTCCCGTCCGCATATGATAATTGTCACATGAGAAAAAGTTAAACGTGTCATGAAATCATTTTTGTTATTTTCGATTATAGTCACGTACTAAAATACTTACGCTTCACTTGTATGCATCATAACCGAATTTTGTTTTGAGATAAAAAAAAGAATTGCTTTTACGCTTTCGTAGAAATAGAAAGAATTATTTTTCGCATTAAAACTTACGAATTGTGAGTCTTTTAAAATTACTTGACTATTTTAAAGGTCCTTAACTCGGTGACGAAAGCTTTTTGCGATTCTACCAAATACGGCATTAACTAAAGTAACGATATTCTTGATCTTCATGTCATGCAAATTGTTAAGAAGTATGTTTTTATTTATTGACGCTATGTAATACAAATGAGTCATAAGTGGTCACTTGCCAAGGCCGGCCCTTTAACTCTGTGTAACTCTGGCTGCGACGGAGCAATAAACCAGACGCCCGAGCTTGTCGGGCGTTCAAACTGTGTCATTCCATCGACCATCAAATTCATTGTGCTGTAACTGTATCAATTATATGTTTAAATCGAACAGTTGATGCTACAACTTACACGTGGACTGTTAGTTTTATATAGCGAGACATACTTGCTTTCAAAATGTGGAAGAAGTCACTCTACAGTATTGCCTTGCTTACACCTGGTAAGATAAAATCAGCTTACTATGATATCCTCAATATAAGTGATTTCCTATGATCTCCGAGCCTATACTGAAACACCGCTTCCATATTGCATGGCCCGACTCCACGGCAATGTTCCCTTCACTTTTACTAATAAACACCGAGAGCGTCGTTTCAGTAAAGGTCCACGATGATTGAATTGAATTAACGAAGCCGATATTTATGTCCTGTTAAAAAGTTGACTTAATACATAGAAAGCTTGCAATATTATAAACTTCTCATTTGGAAAAGCCTAATAAATAGTTTGCACCTTACTTTATTCATGTTGTGGTGAACTTTTTAACAGATGTTACCGTAATTCACCTTCCGCTTGTGTCAACTATCAACCGCAACAAAGGGGGTCTCTCGATTTTCATTTGTTTGAAAATTAAAAAGTAACGCCTAATCACTTTTTAACATGCGTATTTGGTAGTTGAAACGGTGGTGAAATAAGAAAATTCCAAGTGTTGGTCTTTGTAACGGAACCAACTTAATTGGTACTCGAAAGACGTTACAATGTGCTTTTGTATTCGGACCAATTATTCACTTCGAGTTTTCTTTGCGGCAACGCTTAAGTGCTTCGCTAGGCGGCTTCCGTTCCCGCTTACGACTCGTCGAGGCCTCTCTGATGCTTATTTGAAAGTACTCACTGTAGTCGTAATTAATATACTTGGTTTTTCTTTTGTTTGTCGTACAGTAACCGCACTCTAATGGTCATTATGTTGCAGTTTGTACTACCACTAACATGTCACGTCCAGAACTGTCATGTAAGCTAAAGGTATAAATTTAATTTGTCTTTTTACATTATAACCATGCCTACCTACCGACATACCTACAGCATGACTCGCCCTCCTGGGACTGACTGCCCGTGCGAGGAGCCGCGCCGGCGCCGGCGCACGGCTCGCCCGGGCCGACGCACTTGCAACTCTCTCCCCACACAGCCTCTTAGCTTTATATAGCAACAGTTGGTATTTATGGGTACACTTTGGACGCTACAGAACCTATAGACCGCCCTCGCCCTGGTAAAAGTTGTCTAGCATCATGCTTTAGCTTTTTTGTAAAATATAGTCACGCTTCAATAAGATTGGCTGCGCAATAATGATTATATTTCAAGCGTTCTGCATGCCATTTAGATATTATATATTCATACCTACTATGTGCATAGTGCAGCGTTCCTTAACACCTTCTGCCCGGTTGCGGAACTCGTTCTCGATACGATACCAAGACTAGACCAAGCTCGCAAACTCTGAACAAAGCCGTGTAAGACAAAGTTATGTTAGAGCACACAAGTTGCAATATAAAAGTGACAAGGCCGGCCGAGGCGCTCGCGCCAATCAAAGAATGCTTGGAAGCTACAATCATATTGTGCAACGAATCTTGTAAAGTTCTTGTAATATTAAAGCAGCGACAAGATTTGATTTCGTGCAGTTTCGCCTTCCGTGTTCCTATTTTGTTTCCTACCAGTCTGTAGCAATGGAGAAAGTACACACGCATTTGTTAATCGTTGGTCCTAACATTGACATATTACAAATATGTAACATTTTAATGCCGAATATTCAATTCCGTGCGGTTCATTCTATGGAACTCCATGCTCTTTGATATTACAAAAACTAAGTCAGCGTATTTTTCAGAAGGCTGTGCAATGGAAGATATTGTTCAGTGTCAGACGTATGAATGTCCATAAAGTGATGATATAGACTTAGTCATAACACAAATAACAATCGTTCATAAACCGTCAGAATCCAACACCAACTCTCTAATGACAATTTAAAAGTTATTCAAAATTCACATGGGACTCGACTGTTTATGAAGTAGTTAGATTATGTTAACAGTCATGCAGGGGATCCATAATAATAGCCAAAGGGAAAATAACGCTTTATTTATCTTTGGAATCCATAGCGAAATAAATTCACTAAACCTAAGATATCACATGGTTATAATGGGTAATAATGTAATTATAACTTGTTTTCATATTATTAACGAAATGAGGCATTAAAGAACATCCGTTACCATCTTAATGCAGAGTGGTCTGTGATATAAATTCAATTTAAATATACTTTTATACAAATAAATATGGCAAGAAAGGCACAAATGTTATGGCACCAACTGTATGACTGTTTAAAGTAAAAATATAACCATTTCTGTATACTGATATTTTTATTATATATTTCAGTTACTGGACACCCTCCCGGTGTGCCAAGATTTTAATCGACAAGGATGTACCAGACCCACCTGCAGATTTGTTCATATTCGTGAAGGTATGTGTTAAGTCATTTAAGATGAAATTTGTAATTCTTTACTGTCCAAATTCTAATTGTAATTAAAGGAAATAACCCAATCAGCATGTCAATACCCTTCTAAAAAACATTTAAAAAAAACATTTTAACATGTGTAACTATTACTTACTCTACTAGGTACTAGCATCAATCCCTCTATTCCCTTAGTCTTGCATGTTTACACTTTAATAACTTTTTATTAAGTAGATACAATTTCAGTTAGTGGATCTAAATCCTGTAGTAGTTAGAACTAGTTATGTTTTACTTTATATTCGTTACTGTACAAGTTTTTAATGTCCAATTATTGTATAATAATTAGATACTTAACTGTAGATAGCATAAATATTTTCTATTCTGAGGTAATAGATAATGTGCAATGTTTCTATAATGTATGTATTACGTGGTATGAGAGTGTGCTGCGACATAAGAATGAGTTTGAGCGGTGTGCGGCGTGTTGCAGGGTGCGGGCTGCAGGTGGTGGGGTGCCGCGTGGTGGTGTGCCGCGACGCCGCCGCAGGCACGTGCCGCCGCGCCGCCTGCCGCTACTACCACATCCCCGTTCAACTGCCGCCAGCCCTGCGGCCCCCCTAACCTCATCTCTAGCCCCACCTCGCTGATCCCTACCACGCACCCACACCCTACATCCAATACCCCCCACATACACCATCCGCATTAAGCATCGTCCATTCCTCGTCGCGGCTCCCCGATCCTCTCTCCAGTCCCGGTCCACGGGCCGCATCGTCCATGTCGATCGCGCCTCTGACACAGTCCGGCTGCTCATTGAGCGCCGCGACTAGCGCAGCCGGCGGGGGCGGGGCGCGCCCGCTCTGTGCGCCGCGCCGCGCCTCCGCCGTGCTCCCCGCGCCCGGTCGGCTTCGGGAAACAGTGTGTACATATGTAGCGGGATATGGTTCTCAGGCACGGTCATGCGATTGTGATATGAATAGGTTTCGAGACCCCGGAGCCGTTTAAATAATTTTATGAAGATCGTCAAATAGTAGTTAGTGAGGTTTCAAATGTTTTATTACTATTGTATATTATTTTTTTAAAGATATGATATGAGTTCCTGTAAAAGTCGGTGCGAGCGCTTCTCGGCGCCGCAACCTTATTGTATATAAGCGCGACGTACTCTGTGGGTGGTGCCCCCCGCACTCGTCACCGGTGGCATCACCCCACTCCTAAAGTGAGCATTTTTCGTGAGAATTATCTTAATTTTAATATACGTTATTATAATTTTGTTTTTATAGATGACAAGTTTTACACTAGTTTAGATTAAGTGGAACAGTAATGAATCACCAATAGAGTAGCCGCTTTCTCCTTTGGCACAGACCGCGACGCCGGAGCGCGGCGCTCGCCTCGCGCCGGCTCGCGTTGCGTAGAATCGCTCGCGTTTCGGTTATGTGCGTTGCGGTTGTAACACAACACGTGATATGAACGTCGGTATAATATCTATGTAAGAATGAATTATTTGAAAGGAGGTAAAGCGCGAGAGATTGTATCGGAAGGCGGCGTAGGTCGAGTGGTTACGGGCGTGCGTACCGGCGCCGGCGCCGTGACGCGTTGCGTCGTTCAGTTTTCTCACGTTAGCGTAGATCACGACACTCGTAGAGTGGTAGTGGCCAACATTCGGCATACGGTGAACGTTATCGGACAATATGAAACGATGAAAGCATACTTCCAAGCTATTTATCTACTTAAATAGGATAGAAACAACGTCGGCTTTTATTCCAGATAGATTTTGCTAGATACTCATTCTTTTCTGATCGATCCCAGTCTATCGAAGCACAAACTAATGACCGAGTAACGAGTCCGACATACCTATAGATCAGTTGAGAGCGTATTAAGAATAGCTGCGTGTATTGTTTCCGAGGAGAACAGTATTAAGATTAGGTGGACGCGTGCAGAGGCGACAGCGCGTATGCGGCGAGCGGCGAGCGAGAGAGGCGGCCCCGCGCCGGCGCTGGGCGCTAGGCGCGGCCGCGGCGGCCACGGGGCATGGAAGCCGATGCCTAATAATATTCCTAGTCCATATCCTTTTGTTGATCAGTCATGCGATTAATGTTAGAATAAAATATTAATAATTTGATTTATTCCTCCCATTTAGTGGATATTTTGATAATGATATATTAATAATGAGAATATTTAAGATACATAATACATATTTGATTCTAAATCCTGATAAAGTGACACTACGTTAGTAATTTAGTCGGAGGGATACTTGTGCCGTGATTATATTTTTAGGTATATATTATAAAGTAATTCCTAGCGTCGGAATTAAAGAAGTGATTAATGTGTAAGCGCGTTATATTTATTGTCGTATCGTGTAAGTGGAATGCCATATCGATAAAAGAAGAATAGCGGAGGCGGAGTGAAACTCGGAGGTAGAAGGAGGGTGGGTCGTGTAGTTGTGAGCTCGTGAGCTCGTGAGGCGCAGGAGCGGCCCGCGCCGCGCGGGGCCCGGGACGGTTCGCTTTTATCAATACGGCAGCGACTCATAAAACTATAAGTTGTCATTTTTATTTTTGTTGAAATTTATCGTTTACTCGATTATTTGTTGACTTTTAATTTTTTAAACAAAATTTTATGATCTGACGCATTTATTGTAAGACAATCGATTACTTTTATAATTAATTAGTGTGATAATTATAATGATGGCATTGACTGCCGCTGTGAAAGAATGAAACATCGAAAGTATCCTTCCTGTTTAGAAGGGACTCTTCAGACCCAAGGTTTCTAGTGGATTTATATTTTTCTTTTGTTGTATTTTTAATGTTGCGTGTGTCTTACACATAGTATATTTCATTTTTGTGATATTTTTAACTATAAAGTACTGTTATTATAAACCCATGTGGAATAATGATGACCTAATTAAATAATCAAGAATTTATTTGTAAATCACAAAAAAAAATGTAAAACTGTAAATATATAAACAAAAAAATGAACAGCAACACAATATTGGTAATGTAATGTAATGTAATGAATGACGTCTGTCATCGCGTACACTGTAAGTTGTTTGCGTTCTCGTACCGTAATGTAACGTAACGTAAGTAATGTATCGTCGTATTGTTGTTGTAGTAGGTGCAGTCTACTGAAGGTGAACCGGTCCAGTGAACAAACTATTGATTATATTGTGAACCTTTTTTTATTCACGAGCAATCACAGAAAGTACATGACATTGTAATATTATTTATGAAATTACTATGTGATGTGATCTTCGGATCAATTTTGAGTACAGTATAGATAATAAACAACTGAATATGTGATTTGTTTATTTTATTTCAAAACCAAGTAGTAAAGGACACCTTACATTGATTTTGCGAGACATGTTATAGTAATATTAAGTAAATAGAACCACTTGTATGGTCTACAAATTAATTAAAATTATGTGTACCTACTTATATTGCATAATACATTTAAACATTACTTAACAATAAATATTTAAAACAAGCAATTTACCGTATTTAATATTTTCCTTTATTAGTAAGTTGATGTAAGATCATATTGTTCGCCTGGCTAATAAAAGTGATATTCACCCAAAAAAAAACTACTGAAAGAAATCGATGATCAACTGTGGATTGACTTAAAACTTATCATCAACTGGATTCACATATTATTAACATGGTTTTTTCTACAAAAATCTTTAATAAGTAAATACCGATTCACTAGAAGATGAACGCGTATACAAAATGATAAATTTGAAATTACACAAAATAATTATTAAAGTAACTTAATGAATTCTATTCCGTTTCTCAGTTGATTATAAGACGTTCTGGCAAGAAAATTCCGTTCCCTCTTCTAGAGAGTGGCGGTTTAATTGGAATACAAAGCCCTTGACCCAGTTTCTTATTAGAAACCCGTGCTCAAATGTGTTTTATTTAAGTCCCTAACGGCTCGGCAATCTAGAGATCACGAATTACTTCGTGCCACAGTCAATACTTTGGATATTTGAAAGAAATTAAAAATATTCTTTTAGGTCCTGGAATTTTAAAAATCTACTAATAATGCGCATTTACGTAATCTGAGCTGATTTTAAGCAACCTGCCTTCCATCGACGTCTCAGCAGACGGTAGAGCAGAATTTATTACGTAAGTATTCTGGTTTGATAAGTACTTACTAATGATTATGGATATAAAATTCGATTGACATTTATGGAAACACTACATGGTTGTTATATTAAAAAAAACAAGTAAATATAAGAAAGAGCCAAATAGGAAAGTGATTATTACCTGTACATACATATTACAAGTATTTTACTACTAGCTAAATTCAATTGTCGTTTCTACTTACCAGATTTTAACTTTTAAAACAATAGGAACTGACCTTTAGGGGCTTCACACCTGAAAAGAAACAAATAATCCAATCACTGTTTCTTTTAAAACTTTACGAAATTCAGTCTAGGCATGTTGTCTTGAAACGTTTTTGTGTAACGCCTAATTTGGCCAAATTATTTTTAACAACCTCAAGTCATAAAGTTAAAGAGGATATCCCCATTTAGCACAGACTTTTTAGTATACATATGTAATTTAGGAATAGAGTATAGGATAGTTGCATAGAATGAACCTTGGAACAACCTTCTACACCTAACAATCCATCTGATGGATGTTTTTAGAAGGTACCTTCAGAACAGCTGCATTAATCTCGCTAAAATTTGGCATATGTGTAGAACATAGCTTGGAAGAACACATATCTTAATAATTAAGTTTTTTTAATTCTGCGCGAACGGAGGCGTAGGCGATAGATAGTCGCATAATAAATACAACAAAAAACTATATGATTCAAATTTTAGTGTTGGTATTTCCTAATGCATATGTAATGTCATTTGTAAGTCGTAAAATATAAAATATTAAAAAATTGTGAAATCACATTTAAAGTTTTTTATTTTCAAAAAACTTACTTCTATGTATTCTAATTCGAAAATGCATAAAATAAAATACTTTTGCCTTTTTGTGACTGTTCTGAGTTTGACATCTAGCAAACTAAATATGTCAATGTCATGTCAAATCAACAATGGCGAGTGGGTAACAAGTTAATATTCAGTGCTATAATTTTCCCTTTTGCTAAAAATCAGTTTTTCTGGTTATAACTTTTTTATTAACATGTGTAAGTGTTCATACAAAGTACTATATTATGTAAGAAAATAATTTGTTTTCTAAGAATTGTACATTTATCACGTACAATATCTTTTTTTCATCGGCAGCTATTAACTTGTAAGTTATCAACACTTTATCAATGTAATTAACAAATAGTTTCCAATTTGTTATTGACTTTTTTTAGTAATTTTTTCTACGATCTACAATGTTCGCCAGTTTGAAAAGTAAAATAAAGGAGGAAACTGGCAGTGATATAAGTAAATTAACAAGCAGTTGGCGTACTGGTGCATTTTTAGGACGGATTACCCTTCGAGATGATTCGGTAAGTTCAGATCTCATTCATATGTTAAGTGTTAATACAATAACAATATGTATTTTAAGTGCTGTGAGTAAAAAAGTTATTGCAAAAATTTATCTATAAACAGCATCAAGCAAGGTATAAACATTGGTATTCATAAAGTAATTTTAGTATATTTGCAGTTATTTAAAACAAAGGTGTTATTTAATGGCCAAATATTAGCATTGCGGGTAGGCAATGAGTTAACCTTTATTAAACTTTTTCATTTAACCAAGTAATTGATGTTATACATTGTTTTGATTTTCAGTCTACAACAAGTCCAAGTAGTTCAGGCGGCCATGGAGATACCAATTCTGATGTAAGTGCCTTTTTGAATTCGAACAATTCACCAACCTTGCATAATACAACACAGTCTGCCACCTATATTCAAGAGAGTTCCTATATAATTTTTCAATAAATTTGTGAATTAATTCAGTTTTTGACCATGCAGTGTTTGGTTACGATCTGTATGAAGTCTCTCACCTGGTGTGCTTACCATTTGTTTTAAGAGTACCTTCAAAACTATTATACATAATTGCAGTGCAACAATGGTTATCCAGTGTCCCTTGTAATCTGTCATGCTATTTTCATGTTTCATAAATTGATAGATTCATAACTATAATTATTTTCTATAGTTTTTAGTTATTGTTATGTACATAAATTTGTTTGCACATAATTATTTCCCAATGTACAGTTATTATTTTTCTAGTTAGTTTTATAACAGTACTGTTTTGTTAAATTCTTTGGACTATAGGGGGTCTTCCGTTATATTCTATTATCCAACAAATTCCACAGTTCGACACAGCCCTGCAGACATTTGGACTGTTAAAATAAATTACTCTGGAATTTCTGTAATGTACTTCTGACCTAAAAGATTATATTTATCTATTTAACATTGCCACATCCTTTAATGTGGAAACAAAATCTGGATTCATCCTGAGTATTGCAGATAATAATATCCTATTGTTGTACTCAGTGTGGTTTATTTATCATACTAATATTGTAAATGCTTAAATGGATGGATGTTTGTTTGAAGAAGTTTGGCACAGATGTAGAAGATAGTCTGGAAGAACACATAGGCTATTTACTAAGTTTTTTTCAGTACCTCACATAAGAGTCCCGGGCGAGAGCCAGTACAATGTATTACTTTAGAATAAATAACGCTCAAATGAAGCGTGAATAGTTACAAGAATTTAGACAATGACCTCGTTTTTTTTTAGCATATTGTGTTTCAACAGAATTTTTGAACAAGTGAATAAATCATTATTTGAAAGAGTTTACATTGTTATAACTAAGCAGTATTTTACAGTTACCCCTGCCACATTTAAGAGTAAAGATAAGAAAAGAGTTTTAAATAAAATTCCGTGAATTTGTTTAAACATGCTGAACTTATTTATACAGTAATTTTTGGTATTTGTAGAAAGATACCAAAGACCTCTTTTTGGTGATTAGTTTAAAAAAGGTTCAATAGATTTTGAGTATTGTATTCAATAAACACACAATCAAATCTCTGTTAGTAGTGCAACATATATTAATATTTTTTGTTTGTTGTAGTCAATATCACCTCAACTACAAACATACCTGTCGGAGCGCACAGGCTGTGAAATAGACAACTCTGGTCTGCAGCAGCAGTACACGGCTCAGCTCGAGGCCAAGCTGCGGGAGAGGGATGCCTATTGGGAGCAGAGGGTCGAAGAATTGCAGCAGTCATTGGCTGCTGTTCAGGGTAAAAGAATTTCCACTGTCAAACATGTACAAAAACATTTCTCAATTTTTTATATGTCGTCAGAATTTTATATCAGAAAAAGTATATAATAACTATTATTTTGTATAAATATAACAGGGGAAGAAGCGGCCGCCGCGCAGGCCGTTGCCCGCATCGCCCAATCGGAGGCGGCTCGTGCGAGCAGCGAGCGAGATGTCGCTCTCCGGCAGCTTAACGAGCTGAAGACACGCCTGGCAGCAGTCGAGACCGCACAAAACAGACTTGATACGCTTACGGTGAGATTCTATCAATCTATAACACTAAATATTCCATAGAGTTATCTAATCCAAATCTCTGAAGAAATCTCATGTCGTCTGATGAGCCTAATTTTTGACTTCTTTCCCTTTTAAGGATTGGAAGGAGAAGTAGATTTGACAGAGGAGGGGATGCATATGAATTTTAAATGTTCTCTTTCTGTGCGTCCCCTTCTCCGTCGTTTAGGTGTACTAGCACTTTTGTCAAACATAAAAAAAATCAAAAATTTCAATGGCTGGTATTGACAAGTTAGTTCCATGTGTGTAGGAGGAACTGGAGCAGTCTCGGCGGCAGTGGGCCCGCGAGCGCGCGGAGCTGACGGGCGCGCTGGGCGAGGCGGACGCACGCGCACGCGACCTCGCCGACCAGCTGGAGGTGCTGCGCGCCGCACTGCCGCCTGACAACCCTCACCATCATATGCACGATGATGGTAACTGAACATATATTACCCTGGCATGTTTTAATCACCTGTACAATAGGATACAATTTCATTTTAATAAGTATGCTATGTGTTCTTGCAGACTATGTTCTACAACTGTGTCAAACTTCATCAAAATTCGTTGAGCCGTTTTCTCAAACTCTGGAGATGCATTCAAACAAACATCCATCCATCCAAACATTCGTATTTATAATATTAGAAAGATGAAGAATTGGGGAACATGTTGTTGTTTAGTATTTAATTGTCTACAGACAAGCGCGAGTTGTTGGTGAGTGGGTGCGCGGAGTTTGACCGCGTGAGTCGCGAGCGCGCCGTACTCTCCCGTCAGCTGCAGGAAGCCAAGATGGCGCTCGCTGACGTCAAGACCTCCTGGAGCGGACAGATTGCATCACTGGAGACACAGGTCAGTTTACTGATTTCTATTTACTACTGTCGATTAGGTAGTAGGTTACGTAAGTCTGAAAAAGTGAAAATGAGTTTAATAGTTTTTGAGTTTATTTGAATAAACTACTATAACCGAGTGAATATTTCAACTTAGTGAGTTTGTCTTAATAGATAAAGAAAAAGTGCAAAAAAAAACTTTTTTTAAGCCCCCTGATGTTAATATGTACTGCAGATTAGTTAAACATTTGTGAATGAATGGAAACTGAGAATTATTTTTTATTTAACAGACTTTATGATGCGATGCATCCAGTCAGTAAATATTTTTAAACAAAATAATAATTGATTATAAATCCATCTTATATACAATTTATATTTAATAACATATAATAATAGATCGTTCATTTTAAATTGTGTAATATTATTGAAGTGTAATAACGCGTGCGATGTGAATTGAATTATAAAATAAATTAATTTCTTAATTATTATGAATCTTTTATGTTTAGTTTTTGTAATATTTATGTTTTTCACACATGTTCACGTATGTGTGATCAAAATGGTAAGACAAGTACAGTGCAGTATAAAAGTGCATGATTTCACTGTTTGCATGGAAATATTATTTTTTTGTTAACTGTCTACTCATACATCTAATTTCATACTAACAATTAACTATTAACTTCTATTGAATGTTTGTGTAAATTTGTTAATGTTCTTACTAAAGAAAGTTATGTTTCATCATTTTTCTTTACTACGGTAGGATTTATTCAGATTAGTTTGTAATGCGGTTATTTATTACGGAAAAAAGCGTTTGGTGCTTCCAAATAATTACCAGTTTAAAGCATAATATCGGAAATACAAGATTAAATGAGAAAACGCGGGAAAATTGTTTATTTTTCTACATTTTTGGTTACAATTATAAGACGAGTGATTGAGGCGAGGTTAGTAGTGCGAAATCGATGGTTGGTAAAGTCCTATCTAGTTTAGTGGAAGTGTATGAGATGATATTGTGACGTGAGTTGTGCCGCTAGGTGGCGCGCTTGTCGCGGCAAGCCGGGGAGGAGGGGGCGGAGAGACGCAGAGTTGAGACAGAGAAGAAAGAGATACAAGACAAACTTAACAAAATGGCCGCCGAACTCGACAAAACTAAACAGAGCTTGGCCAATAGTGAAGCTAAGGTAGTATTTTTATAGTTTATTTTAAATATAAGAACGTTTTACAGTTTTTAGGGAACATTTTGGCATAATCACTTTGAGATAAAATCGTAGTCATGGGTAACTCGACTAAAATTGATGATTATAGTTAATGACACGGTTCGCGAGTAAAAAGCAGATCAGTGAATCGGTTCGAAGCTCAGTTCAATTTGTACCTGCATAGTGTTATGATTTTCGTTCCCAATTCGTGGCTTGTAGGCTCACATAGTTATAGTAAATAGCGATGAGTCGTGAGCTGCTATTTTAGTTGTTGAGCCTCAGCTCAAGTCAGTCATTCAAGAACATTTGATGCGATTCAGAGCTGATTTACCCACGTCCATAGAATTGTTATCATTCAATTTGAGTCAACAACTCCTAAAAAAATTGTATACTGCGTTTTGTGATTTGAAGAGATTTTTACTATATTCGAAGATTGACTCTGATTTGACGGTTCGGGATTCGATCGGTAGCTATTAATCGCTTTAAAATGTTATAATATTAGTGTAAAGTATTCCTAGATTGACATTTGCGTACGATTAGGTGACGCGACTGAACGGGGAGGTGCATTCTCTGGCGATGGAGGTGAAGGGTCTGCGAGCCGCCGCCGACCGCTCGGACGTGAGTCCCAGCCTCTACAGCATTTAGACTACCTAGCTTAGTCCCATACACCTAGGTCTAGACTTTAGTGCCGCTGTAGCTTCGAAATGGCGTAGTTATTCGATATCATTTAATTTTATTATCGCTTATGAATCGTTATGTAGTTGTGTTTTTATTTTAAAGTTTATTATTAGTTTATTGTAAATAATGAATGCAATCAACACGGTTAAATAAACAATTTATAGTTTTTTTTATTTGTGACAGTAGTATTATATTATATCATCAAGATCAAAAGTTATTATTTTATTGAGTTAATGAGTTTTTAATAACATTAAAAAGAACGTGGCAGCTTATAGCTAAAAGGAATTTATATATTTTGCACAAATTTCGCTTGTATAGGTTAGATGAAATCTAAAAGACTAGCTCCGCCTTTTCTCACATATTTTAATGAAATCTTAAAGACAATATGCCGTCCATTTTATTAGCTTTTTTCTAAATATATAGTGGCATTGTAAACTAATTTGTGAATGTGAAAAGATTTACGAGACAAAGTAAAAGTGATTGATTCATCTAACAGTGGTACACTTGAACAAAGAATTTTAACTTTTATTCTCCATATAGAGGCTAAAAGCATTTCAAATTAAGACGTACTTGATAATATATTAACTATTTTTTGGATAATTGTTATGTCATTTACCTATAAATGGTATAATTTAAAGATGACACAACATAACTAAGGTTATGTATGTGATAGTAAAATAAAAATGTTTATATATCTTTAATTATAAATACATTTATCCATACAGAAACAATTAATGGAACAATGACACTATATGTTTACACAAAGATATACATTCCTTTCTTTTGTTTTATATAAAATTAGATGAGAAGTTGTACTTAATAATAAAAAGCTTTATTTACAAGGAAATGAGAAATATGTTTAATTATTACTGTAGAATACAAAATTATATTTAATTATTATGTAACTATATCAATTTGATTTGATATTTTAAATGGTCCTATTATTTTAAATCGTTTTAGTTTACGTTAATCGTTGCAAGTTATAGGTAAAATAATTGCATTAAAAAAACATTGCGATCGCTACTAAAAGTTGATTAATTATACTTATAATAAAAGTTAAACTAAAAGTTGATTATATATACATATATAATTTATCCAGAAAACCATTATTTTTTTTTTCAAAAAGCCAAAATTTTTTACTTTGTAGATATATATGAAAAATATACCAACTTTTTCTAGTGATCGCAAACTTTTTGATGTGTGTTGTTCTTTTAAAAAAAATCATAGAAATTATAGGTACTGTTCAATATTTTTGTCTTTTAATAAAGTTTTAAACTTATTTTCTTTTATATATTTTTTGCTGGATATATTTTTAAATATTTACAACAAAAAAATAGTTTTTAAAGGTTGTTTTGTTTTTGAGTGGTCGCACTGAAGCTTATGGCTTTGCACAGATTTTTATGCGTATAACGGAATTTCGCGAGACTTCGCCTTATCGCTATTTAATCTGTGGCGCAAAGATAACTTATCGTAACATGACATTGTTTTGTTTTTAATCTTTTCAAACTTCGATTCTGTGAAAGAATTTATAGTGTGATAACATAAATGAATTACTGTAAGGTAAATATGCGCAATAGTTTATATATATATTTTCCTTTTATTAAGATTGATTTGCTTTTAAAATGATTTTTGTATTTCAAATAACAATAAATTTTATTTTGTAAGATTTTTTTTTCATTTTTCCTTTCACCTTGCACATTGCCAGTACGTTCACTAATATAACAAAAAGAACTAATACGTCACATCAATTAATAAAAACTTGTGTGTATTCTAATTTTATTTCACAGTACAAAAGTTAGTGTATATTTAAAGCTTGTTTGCTTATTTCTTATTGATTGACTTTAAAGGCGGTGATGGAAGAAGCAATACGGGACATGGCCATATTTTTTATTATTTTTCTATGTTTGCTTTAAAGTTTTTTTTTAATGATATATGGTTGTTTTTTTTAATTGTTTTGTAATAAGTGTGTTGAATTTTGTATTGTCTAGACATATTTATTAAGCACCGCTTTATGCTGAAAGTAGGAACACTAAGGTTTACTTTACAGGAGAAGACAATGGAGTTGGAGCGGAGGTTGCAGGTGTTGACGAATGAAAATAAGAAGCTGATGGAGGAGCTGGAGGAGGAGAAGGAGAGAGTGAACGAGCTAAAGGATAGTGCAGAGGCGTCCAATCGGCGAGAAGATCAGCACAGGACTGAGGTCACACGCCTCCATTCCGTCGTCACTGAGATGCAGCAAGACTACGTCAATATGCAAAAGAAATATGACAAGTATTGTATTTTTTAATTATTATTTATATTAATCGACGATTTAGACTTGGCGTAATCTAAATGTAGTGAAAACATTTGTAGACACTTTTGATGTGACGTCATCACACTTAGATTTTTTAGACGATCCCACCTAATGTTAAGTGATGATCTGGATCTGGATATGCGTTAGCTTATTAAACGCCTATTCAATCTATACTTGAAGGCCCCCACGTCATACTTGGACGGAAAAGTTAACAACTTGTTTTAATCATTTCCAGTACAAGGAACGATGATTCATGTCATGTCATGACAAATGTCTGATGTGTATCAGATATTTTCATATCATACGATGTTTATAGAGAGAGGCGACAAAAGGACGAAGCATTGTTGCGTAACGCGACGATGTCTCAATCCGTGGAGATGAGTCAATGCGAGGTGCGGTATCTGGAGGACGAGCTGGCGGAGCAGCGCACCAAGATAGCAGAGCTGGAAGAAGTCATCGCGGACCATAAAGAGGTATATTTCAACCAATATACAAATACTAGCTGGTGGGATAGTTGCTAAAACTCGGCATCTGGAATTATTCCACCTAAAAAAGGCTATACGTGCTTCTTTTATAGAAACATCAAAATGTTATAATATTTTGTATATAACTTTGTATTTGGGAGCGTCGGTGGCTCAGTGGTCAAGCACTTGACTTGCAATCTGCAGGTCCTGGGTTCGAATCCCGCCATGTACTAATGTGTTTTTCGATTTCCGATTTACATATGTACATTTATCCGACGTTCTTACGGTGAAGGAAAACATCGTGATGCAACCTGCACATATCTGAGAAGAAATTCAAAGATATGTGTGAAGTCAACCAACCCGCATTTGGCCAGCGTGGTTGACTATGGCCTAATCATCCTACGTTAGGATAGGCTCCGAGCCCCTCGGTGGGGACGTATAGTGAGCTGATGATGATGATGATGATGATGATGAACTTTGTATTTTAATTTTAACAGAATCAGGCGACTTGCATGATAATAAAGCAGAACGAAGAGAAAAAAGAAGAAGAAATTGACGATTTAAAGAAAAGAATTATAAGCTTGATGACAAGTGAAAGCGAACTTAAGAAAAAAGTACACTATTTAGAAACTGAAATCATTGATAAAAATAAGGTACTACTTTTAAATTATTAACTTTATGTGTAACCCGAATAAACTTTGATTATATTAAAATTATTTCAGAAAATAAAAACATTAGAGAATCGGATATTAGACATGAAGAAGACTTTGCAGCGCGAACTGCAAAGCAGCAAATCTGACCTCACCTCCGCAGAGGAGCAGGACATTAGCAGGCGGCAAGTACACAGAAACATACAATCTCTCTAGTAGCAACAACTTCACTACAACTACAACAAAGATTCTGATTTTAGTAAATAATTACATTACATTAATCGATTGACCATAAAATTAATTGATTAATCATGTTATTAATTGGTTAATCATGAAATTAATTGATTAATCATATAATTAATTGATGAATGTTGTTATTGATTAATTAATTAGTCTTGACGTGTAATTAATTAATTAATGTTTGTGTGATGCAGTTACTTGAAGCACGTGGTGTTACGTTTCGTGACGGGACGTGAGCGCGAGGCGCGCCAGCTGACGCGTGCGCTGGCGGCGCTGCTGCGGCTGTCTGCGCACGAGGAGGCCTCGCTGCGCGCCGCGCTGCCTCCGCGCTCCTCCGGCCTGGCCGCCTGGCTGCCCGCCATGCCCGCCATGCCCGCCATCTCCTCGCTCTCCTCCCTCACCTCGCTCACCTCCAACACGTGACACCAGGTACAACACCAATACCACTCCTATTCTCCTCTTTTAATTGTACTGCGACAAGCTAGAAAATGAAATAAGTAAAATATCACGAGATAGGTACCGTACTACATGGATTTTGTCACACTTTATGACATTGACAGGGGGCGCTAGTGAGCTATCATAATTAAGTTTGACTTATGCCTACCAATTTAGATAACTTTGTTCTCGACGTCTAAGTCAAATCGATGTCCATAATATTGAAGTTCACCAAAATAAAATCTAATAATATCAATCGACAATTTAACTTACGGTGTAATACATTAAAGAATTTTCATTTCAGATATAAAGGTAGCAATGTGAAAAAATAGCAGCTTTGTTCACCTGTTCATAGTATCCTCGATTTTGTTTCGTCTCGGTAACAATTTATGTGACCGACGAGCGAAGACAAGTGGAGGTTACGGCTAAAGATACTTATTATTGTTAAGAACAGCATAGAACATACTATTGGGTGATTAAATAATTGAAATATACAATTTATGGAATTTCACGCGCATTTCTTAAAGGAATTTGTACTCGGCGCTTAAAGCACTAAAATGAATCGATGAAAAAAGTTACACGTTTCTTGTAAATGTTACTCTTTTCTATAGATTGAAATAAGCGCGGCCGCGTCTTCTAACATTTTCCTCTTTAATCCATACGTGTGATTATTATTTGTAACTAATACCTTATTGTGAAGTTTTAATCCTTTAACTGGTAGAAGCAATTTTGTTTTTCGGAAAAATAAAAACTCGTTTTTTTGGTTTATTGTGGGTACTTTAATAACTTTTATTAAAGAAAAAAACAATCATATTTAGTGAAGGAAAGAAAACATGGTAGCAATATCCTTGCCAACACCAGTATGAGCTCTGTTAAATTGTTCATGGATTTTCCTCTTGCAGTTGGTGAAATCATTTAAAACATGTTTTAAGGTATTGGTGCTACAAAGTAGAAAAATTCATAACATGTTGGTGGCACACATATTGCCACCATCAGTAAAAGGGTTATAACCAATGGGGCTAAACAAAGTGCATTCGCTTTGAAGCAATTGTATGGAACTGACGCATGATAAACAATCACGTGACATCGAAAGTTATGGTCCTATATACATTTTTGAAGTTCGTTATGGAATCATTTCGGAGCGAATGCACTTTGTCTAGCTCCGCTGATCTCTATAAATAGATAAGCGATTGCTTGGAAATGTGAGCTATTGCTTTGTTCTGATTTAAAAGCGCCTTTTGATGTATGACAATTAAATCTGTCTGTATATTATTAGTTCGCTTCCACGTCATCAACGTCGAAATGACGAAAATACAATAGGCGCAAAATACTTCTACTTACAGCCTGTCCATTTATAGAGGTCAGTTTTTAAGATCTGCAATCCCATGCATTCCTGCATCACACTGTTGATTACGTATAAAAAATTTACATTATATTATATCTTTTTCTCTTATAAAATCTTTCTGGTGCTCTTCCAAACATGTTTTGAGTTTTTTCTCACTATTATTAGTTTCGTTTACTGAATTATAATTAAATTAATTTAATTAACAATCTAGATTTAATCTAATCGAATGGCTGAAAAAAGTATTATTTTATATTACGCATAAGTTTTTTTTAAGTATTTAAGTACTTTTATAAGTGTTAGAACGACTTACACATATTTATTTTAATAAAGTTCTAAAGAAAAAAAACCTTAATTGATTTTTTATGTTTATTTCAAAGTTTTTATTATTTCTAGTTAATGCTGTAATAAATTTTTTACCACAAATGATGAATCTTGTAGTATTTTATTGTAGGTTGCTCTTAATATTTAAAATGAAATGTTTAGAAATGTTCGGTTGTAGGGCACAACGTAATATTAAAAATGTTAGATGTACATTTTTTAGGTTACGAATTATACGTTCGTTTATTAACTGTAAGTTTCCGAGACCAAAATCCCGGTTTACATATTGTTCTCACTGTTTTGTCCAAGATAATGACAGATGTCGATATGTTTACGCAGATTATGATCTTAGAAACCCACGGTAATGCGTCAAAAAGTAGCGAGAAATAGAGAAAATAGAATTAAATAAATGATACTGCCTCCATTACACATAAAATATTTATTATATTGGACGAAATGTTGCATGCGATTTTATGTGAATAAATGTTAACATATCGACAGAAAATAGCTTCCTAAAAACAAAGTATTTAATAAATTGTAGCATTTTGTACACAAACTTCTTTCGTTATTATTAGAATTCTTGTACATAATTTACCTTTCAAATTATAACAAAATGTTATTATTTTTTTTTAATCTAGTCTAGCTTGTTCAATATGTCTGAAGTTTAGTTTTGTACGTCTTTTTGTGTGATAAATATATAGGTTCAGACCTTTATTTTAAAATGTTTGGTTTATTTTTGTAGGTGTAATTTGTTAAAATATATAATTATGTTTGAAAATGTGTTTTTTAAATGATATACTGATTATGTTAAGTATTTTTCAATGATGTTATTTATTTTTCGTATGAAATAAATGTATATTTAATTTAAAAATTGTTTCATTTAATGCCAAATGCAACATAAATTCAGTTTTTAAGTATCCCTTTTTTAACGAATTGTTTTTAGTGGTGGGTTTCATTGCCGCACAACAAAAACAAATCACAGACTCAATCAGCGTTTTAATACTTGAATGCACGCTTGCTTGTACTGACAAAGCAAATATCCAGTTGCGAATTTGAAGTAGATTATTTTAATGTAGGTTATATGCAGGAAAGAAAACAAATTTGTATTTTAACGTGTTTATTTACAACTTACAATGTAATTTAGGAGCAATAAAATACGCAAATCTACAATGCCGTCCTTACAACAAGGCACAAATAATAAGATATTCGCTATCTACGTCACCATAATATATAAAAAAGAAATTGGATAAACAACGCTAGTAAAATTAACCCGGTAGGAACCTTACAAAGAAAAGCTTATGAGACTAGAACGCGGAATGTTTTACTACGATTTTGTCAAAAAGGGTCGCATCTAAACTCAAACTACGATATTTGAAATCTTCAATTACTGGGATAAATTTAAATATGAAATGTTAGTAAAAATTTATCGATCGACAGATATACTATAGAAATGTTTTTTCAAGGAATAATCAGAGTTACAAAAATCGCTTATTTCTTACGGACTGTCTATGAAATTGTATATACTTCTAACAATTGAACTTGGTTTTTAAAAATTGAAGAACTAGCTTAGTGTGTCTTGAAATATATTGTTGGCAATAAAGTCAAAATATACGAAAGTTAACCTTAAATTGTATTGTCTTGAAAAAATTCCTCAACCACCCAGACCGATTGAATCCTCTATTCCAACCTGTCATTTCCAATTTGTCATTACCTTTTCTAACTATAACCATCAATATTTATCACTTTTGCACATCCACATCCATTTTTTATGGTCTTGGACCATATATAAATGATAATAAATACATTATGGTTAACATCACATTTATTTGGTTTGAACGTCCCAATGATTTTACTAAACCCAAGAGTGAGAATAAAATTATTGTGTACTATATTCGATTGTAACAATAAAATTGTTATGACGTCGTCACCGCACATTAGTTCGTAGGACACGTCACTAGATGGCGCACGCAGTATGACGGACACGTGCGGGGGCGGCGCGCTGCGGCGGGGGACGAGGTCTCCCTCAGTTTATAGCTTCACTCTACCGTTGCATATGTCATTGAACAGCTGCGAGGTGATCGGCACGAAGTCTGCGCCCGCGCGGAAGTACAGCGGGTCCTTTATCACGTCAGGATCAAAGCCCTCCTTCTGGTACTGCAGCTTTTTTAGTTTGAACGTACCTGTTAAACAATAATACCAGTAGAAGTAACGTGTTACTTGGCTCAAGTAGAGTTGTTTTTGCACATGCAGTGACTGACCAGTGATCTCGATGTCGTTCATGATGCGCAGGAAGAGCGGTCGCGCGTAAGATGGCAGCGAGAGATCGAGGTCGCGCGCCAGCTTGCCGAGGTCCAACGAGCGCTCAGGGTCCGCGATAGCCGCCATGCCCGCGCGTCCCTCCGTCTGCGGGATCTGCACACCAAACACATAATCAAAAATCAAAATAAACATTAACAGGAATCGTTCTTCCTGATCGTATTAATACACACCGAGACGCCGTAGACGACGCAGTCGCGGCGCGCGAGTGCTGCGATGAGCGCGTCCTCGACCTCGGCAGTGGCGACGTTCTCCCCCTTCCACTTGTAGGTGTCGCCGGTGCGGTCGCGGAAGTACAGGTAGCCGAGCTCGTCCGCCACCAAGATGTCGCCGCTCACGAAGGCCGCGTCACCAGCGCAAAACACGTCGCGAACCAACTTCTTGTTGCTGTCGCTCTGCATCCACACATTCAGATTTATTCATAATGTCTCGAGATTTATATAAACCATACTTCACACATCACGCACACGACAGGGTACATACCTTGTCAACATATCCGTAGTACTCTCTGGAGGCGTTGCCCTGTGCAATCAGTCCTATGAACATGCCCGGCTCATCTGTGGACATCAGAATTGTAGTTTTAAATTTTGTAATATTATAATAATTATAGATAGATCTACTTCTATCGAAGATGAACTACGATTTGATCGGTACACAGGTTACGCTGCCATCGTAGTGGCTAAGATATTTGCGTTCTTGCAAGTATGAAAAGAATCTCACTGGGCTGACAGCGCACGCAGTAGCCGTCGGGGCCGCGCATCAGCTGGCCCTGCTCGTCTGTGCGGACGAGTGCGATGGGGTGCAGGAAGGTGGGCACCAGCTGCGGCAGGAAGCCCACCGCGCCCACCTTATTGTCCACGTTTACTGCAGTACACAATTAAATTTCATAAATATATAATATACACATTTTGTTGCCGATTTTCGAGTGTTATAAACGATCTATCAATCGTCATAAACAAATATATTCCTTAAATTTGGTAACACAGATAAGTTAAATATATAATACAACTTCAATTCTGTTTCTTATGGTGGCTATTGTAAGCTCTTCATCATGTCATTGCATAGGTACAATGAATAATATAAATGTAAAAATATTTGAATTCTGTTTGCTGATTATAAATTATCTTCATCTTCATTATCAAATAGTTTATACCTTGCGGCGAAATGTTTACATTTTGCTATAATAACACGATTGATTGTTGGGGAAGTGTCTATCGTAAGTTAACTACGAGTTTCAACTGACGAACACCTATTATACATAAAACATTTCTTGCCTCTGTTTTTAAAGCAAATGAGATTAACAAGATTTTTGTTCAGGTGTATCGGCAGTGAATATGGTCAGTATTAAAGAATTCAGACTGTTGTTTTTCGTAGTCTTCGCAGATAGATTCTAAAATATTTTATCAAAGTCAAAATAAGTGATTAGTTATATTTTATGGTTATAACATTAATGTGAATAAATAACTCACTGATATTTGCGTTGCCCTCTGTAGCGCCGTAGATTTCATTTATCTGGGGCACTTTGAACCTAAATAAAGACAATTAACATTTGTAATGATTACAACAATGCCGTCTGTTTACACAATCTATACAATTATTTAAGCATATCATTTAGTATTTGGGTCAATTCTAAATAAACAATACACACTTTTCGTACTTATTTTGAACCAAATAACTACGGATTAAAAAAGAATACTCTTCTAGCCATATTGACATAGATAGCGTTGTCATTGTGTACCTGTCGACCATCTGCTGCCATATTGCGGGGCGCATGCCGTTGCCGACCATGATGCGGACTCGGTGCTGCGAGTCTGTCGGCCGCGGTGGCTGCGCCAGCAGGTAGCGGCACATCTCACCGATGTACTGCGCCACCTGAAGACAAACAACACAACCAAATAAACACTCACATATAACTACGTAACAGTAACTATGTCAGAGCCGAAGCAGTTTTCAAAATTTTAAGGTAACATCACCTTGGCGATGCAGCAGCGATATCCTTTGTCAACCGAGTAGGAGGCGTTGGGGTACTACCACCAGTACGGCGCAGTTTAAATAGCTTCTTAACTATTAGTATGGATATTGACTGTTGCCTAGTCATCCCTAACTTAGGGTAGGCTCCAAGTCCATCAGAGGGGACACACAGTTAGCTGATGATGATATTAAGATGCGTTTTGTTATTCGTTAAACCTACAATAGCCGTTGTATTACTGACCGTGCACTGATACTTGATGCAGTCCGTCCAGTAGTTGGAGCCGGAGAACTTGGCGCGCAGTACGGAGGGTATGCCGTCGACGAGCGCAGCGCCGGTGCCCACCAGACCGCCTGCCGTGTGGTACAGTGGCAGCGGGTTGTATAGCCGGTCAGAGCTTCGCAGACCCAGCATATGAACCGTCGCTACTACCACCAGCAAATACCTGACAGAAACGCGTTCTTTTTAAATAACGAAACTTTGACAGTGTTAGACCCCAACATACCACGACCACAGAGTACAGGCGTCAAGTGTAAGTAATTCCGCATAGTCTGATGCGTTCAGGTGGCCGCTTGATAGTTTGCCACCTCGAAATATATAAAAAAATCTGGGCTGGAGTAAGTCCATATCATTTTTACAGTACGGACTAGTCGTGGAGTTGCAAACAAAGCCCCTACAACTATCAGGTACAAAACTATACTCAGGAGGAGAGGATGCACAGAATGAAAACATTTCAATGCATCCTCCCATCCAGAAAGTCCACTTCCACTTCCTATCCTTTCCTTATAAGAAAAAGGGTAGGAAGGGAAAGAGGACTAAATTAGGCCTGCGGGACGCCCACTCTTCAGACGAAACGCGGAATTCACGCCTGTCTTCTGTGTGATCGTGGTATTTCACCGAGCGAGCCGGGAAAATTCTTGCGAAGATGTTAAAGCGGGCTCTACCACTGTTAGTTGAAATTGCACTGTCCTAACAACTATATGAAAACAAATTTTTGTCTCCTTCCCGAAGTAATTTAGAGATAACTTGTAAAAGATTTTTAAAGGTGAAGGTAAATAAGTTCTTTAGTCCGTTATTTACTAAATTATAGAACACACAAATTTTAAGTTAAAATTTATATGAATGTTAAAATTAAAAGCCTAAGCTAATATTTAAATTTTAGACAGATGTCTATTAAATTACCAAAACCAATTGTACCTAACAAAGTTTTTATTATACACGACAATTTTGGATATTATTCTATTGCTAAGTATAATTTATTTGAATATATTTCAATGTTACTATAATTATTATTTTTTCTGCGTTGTATTATTTGGCAAAAAGTTTCGATGTATCAATCATGAGCATAAAACAAAAAAAAAATTATATTACAAATTTATTTTACTTAGTTACGTAAGCGAAGATTTTCATTTCAGAAATTCATAGTTAATATTAATATTATATGATCTTGTAAAAACGACGAGTAGTTTTGGAACAACAAAGGCATCCACGAACGCATTTTCTAGAAATATTCCACCAGTTTAAACGATATTTTAATGTTTTAATAGTTTTGTTGAATGTAATATAAATACGCATACTTAAACAGTTTGGCTGTATGTGACATAAATAGGTACACTTAATATAAATCATCATTAAAAGCTATCACTGTATTTCTGTGCCAGAAATGATGTTCGACACAATGTAATCACATTGCAATTCATTAGATAAAAATAAACCCTTTGTTCCCAAGTGGAGGCAAAAATAGCCGTAGTACGTTTTGTTTTACCGCGTGGCAACTCGTGACGTCACCGCATGAAACACTTCTCAAAACAATAATCAAACTGAAATTAATCAGATAACGCAATTTGATTGCAATTCATTGGATAAAGGTCAAACTCAAAGTCCACGTTGAACTCAAAGTTCATTTTGAACACAGAAGTTCAGCGTTCGAAAAAGGCGCGGACTGCGCAATACGCAATGTGTTGATACCGAGTTATTTGGGTCGTTATTTGATATCATTCAAACTACAATAGTCCGCAATTTATTAAAACAAATGGAAGCGATAAAAAGTTCGCGATTAACACTTTTAAATATTAACTATAATCACATTACATTTCAAATAAATTATGTTGAAATAACCATATTACATGTAAAGATGTATCTTAGGGAACGTACCCATGTTACGTGACCCGTTTGGGGGGGGGGGCGTCTTTAAAATACTACAGTCAGTCACGGGGGGGGGGGTGGTTCAGGTTTTTGTCACGTAGTCGTTAGTTGTTCTTTTTCATAATACATAATTCACTAGTAATTTAAGTATTCATGCAAAAGAATTTTTGCCTGTGAAATGGTTATAAATCATAATTATGAATTACTACGTAAAAACTAAAGGGGGAGAGGGCAGGAGTCTTGGCATATACTACGAATGGTCACCGAGGGGAGGGAGGGGGTCGAAAAAACAAAAACGATAGTTCACGTAGTATGGGTATGTTCCCTTATTGGTATTCTTATTATCTAGTTCTTACTATACGCGTATTATTGTGGATTGGTATGGTTAGCAAAACAAACCCAATCCCTATTTGTACCTAAACAGTAATCTTCTACGGAGTTCGTGTAAATTATAATATCTGATACTTGATTTGAGACATCAGGAGTCAGGAACAAGAGTATTATTTTGCCTGATTGACAACCCAAGCGCGTACATTTGACCTGGCACATCGGTTATTAGAGTACTCTTGTTTCTGACGTGCCAACGCAAGCGCCTTGCACTATAGAACTTTTTGCTATATTTCCTTACTTAGAGTTGGGCAGCACAGCGGCTTTAGGCATGCCAGTGGTTCCCGACGTGTAGATGTACAGCAACGTGTCTTTGTACTGAGGCTTGTCGACCACCACCGGGTACTCTGGGGGATGCTTCTCCATCTCGGCGCCGAAATCAATCACGCCGGCTCCACATTCACCGTACAATTGGAACAGCTTCAGTTCCGCCGGTAGTTGGTCTCGGACTTCGTCTATTGCTGTTAAACAAATCAGAATCTAAATGACAGAATAAGGAACGCTTTATTTATTTCTTAAGTTATTTGGTAATAGCTGTCGCCCGCCACTCCGTCCGCGCGGATTAAAAAAAAAAGCTTAATAATAATAGCCTATGCGTTCTCCTAGGATATTTTCTACATCTATGGCAAATTTCAGAGAGATCTTTGTAGCCGTTCTAGAGACCCTTCTAACAAACATCCATAATTAGTAAAAAGTAAGATAATGTAACTCGGCGTTTTTGGTAGTTTAGTTTTGGTTAATGCTATCTTCTTCATGACATACCAATAACAGGCTGAATTGTTTAAAATATTTATTTTGATAAATACATTGTCCACCGTAATAACCTTTAGCATTCTGTTTTCAGTTCGTTAACTTCCATTGTTTGTAAATGCAACGACAATAACACGCGTTTGAATATCGATATTGCACAATTTCTAAAGTCTCATAAGGACGATTTAACTACATTTTTTTTAATGCATACAACATCAAGTATAACAAAAACATTGTTTATTCTTCATTTTCCTGTTCATAATCACATGTCACTAGATTATAACCCACGCCATACAATTTAATATAAATTTATTTCCGCATAATATAAAATTACATGTATATATTCGATTATTTGTTCGATCGAATACTAATTAAATATTAAGTATCGAACTCCTATGCCCCTTAAATGGACATTCATATTTCTACATTTTGGAATATTTAGCGACTGTTTTGAGATATACTAACGTATTTTCGCTTTCCAACGATGTGACGACATCAACAGAGTTAAAGACGAAAAATCTTACTAATATTATAAATGCGAATGTTGGATGGATGGATGTTTGTTTGAAGGTATCCCCAGAAATGTTGGATGGATGGATGTTTGTTTGAAAGTATCCCCAGAACGGCTGAACGGATCGCGATGAAATTTGGCATACATATAGAACATAGTCTGAAAGAATAATAAGCTACTAATGATGTTTCTATTTAATTCCACGCGGTTAGAGTCGCGGGCGACAGGTAATGAATTATAATAGTTTGTATATACCTCCGGCCAGGCTGTCGGAGAAAATGATAGCCTTTGCCTTTGCCACCTGTATGCAGTGCAGCAGCGGCTTGTGGCGCAGGTTGCTGTTGATGAGCGCCGACACCGCGCCAACCTTGGCCATGCCCAGCCACGACCACACATACTCGCCGCAGTTGGGCATAAACACGCAGACCACATCGCCACGCTTCAAACCAACGTGCTCTTGCATAACACGGGCCACTTGATTTGACTTTTCCGCCATCTACAAATTTTAATTACATTCAACTCTACCTTATTCATTGTTATAACCCCGTTTTTTAGCAATTTAATTTTAATGCTGGTTAATTTCATTAAACGATTAAAACAGAAGGTTTCTCTTTTCGTCATTTACATGAGGGCTTTATAAAACTTTAAAATCACTACATTACAACAATTAATACTAATCGTGAACTTTTGCAAAGAAAAATTGTATAATATGTAGGTAGAATGAAAATGGAAAGCATAGATCCTATAGAGCTCTTTCACCAAGCGACTTTTAGAATACAAGAAAATACTCGACCTGTTTAAATGTCCATGTGCGGTCATCGACAACTATGAAGCAAGGTGCGTCGGGGCACCGGAGCGCCCTCTGTGTGAATAACTCCGCCACGGTGGCGTTCTGCCGGCCCCAGCGCTTCGACCTGATGATTCCATTTGTGTACCGCCATAGGAATCTGTCAACAACACATTTGTCTTTGATCATAGAATAAAACAATTTATGTCAAAGAATAAGTGGGTTATTCATGTAGAACAAATAAGCCTCTGAGTTCTTTTTTTTTTAAATAGAATTGTTACTTCTGCAATTTTTATTTAAAAGAAAGATGTAAATTAAATCATTTTAAAGATGATTATATTAGGGATACTTAAATGAAAAGTTTACTTTACACAATATTTACAAGTATAAGAAAATTAAAAGCAAATCATTTCTTAAAAAATTAAAGAGAATGCGTTCATTTATAAAAAAAATAGAATATTTGCGGCGTAATTCTGTTGTTTGCGTTAAATATTTATAAAAGAAAAATATCAAAATGCGCAATTCATGATAATTTTCATACGATTCCCATACTTATGTGCAGTGTAGGTAAGTCGATTTTCATTTGTATGTAACAATACGCAGGACATGTGAACAAGCCGGCTGTAGGAATCGTGTATTGATTTTATCAATCAATAACTCTTATCATGACGTACAACTAGATAATATTGTAAACTAGATCTCGGGAAAAATAGAAACAGTAATTCATATTTCGCTTTTATACGTGAATAAAATATGAAATCTCTGTTGGCACTATACCATATCTTTGCTATTATCCTCGTTTTCTACAAACTATACTGTTTTTCTAAATAAAATTACTGTGGTCCAGCGAATGTGAATAACATCTATATTACTAGTATATTGTACTTGAATTAACATTACTGGTAAAAACAGTGCAGTATATTTTATAATAGTATTTACATTAGCTAACATCTAACGATCTTACACCAATTTTATCTGTTGTGTTTGGTAGATATGTTAAAATTACTCCGCATCCAAATACACACACAGAAACAAAACGTTTTGTTCTGGTTATGTTGGAAAATCCACCGTAATACAGGCGTAATGTAATTTTTTTATCGTTCGATTTAAATTCTACAGCAATGCGGTGGGCAGCAGTCAGCCGGCGCGGCATTACGTGTGCTGACGCAACTGAACCTCTAATCCTATAATTAAATGAAGAAGAAAGAGCCTTGCGCCTACTGCAATTTATCACACTATAGAAATGCAATAGATTACACTAAAGAAGCTCTGTATCTGTATATTAATAACAATATTTACCCAAAAATTATCCGCCAAAATAGTATATCTCTTTAAAAGGAATACAATATGACGTAGCAATGGGCCGGCTCGACTGCTGCAATCAATTCTGAGTACAAAGAGATGAATGTACCGAAGGCATCATTTTTATCCACGTTTCTTATAAGGAAAGGATGGAAATGGGAAGAGGATAGGGACCCCCTCTGGTCGCTGACAAATCAATCTTTTTCAAAAAATTCTTTTTCTCTGTGTCCTCTCCTCCGTAGACTAAAGACCGCGATAGGAATCGAAATAACCGAAAAAAATGGTTTATTGTATAGAGAGTGATCGAATAATGTTTGTACACAATTTCATACAAAGTATCTATATGTAATTAAAATAATTGTAAATTGGATATGTAAGGACGAGAGTGGAAACTGGACGAATAGTCAGTAATAAATATCGGTCAGGTAAATAATTGCAGTGTAGCCATAAAAAATTACACGCCATAAGATAATTAAGTAATAATTACACTCAAACTACCGCTAAGATTGAACGGTAATTATTTTTTCACTTTTCATCTTCAACGTGAACAACTTTTTTAGTAAATATACTTAGAGAAATATACTTACTTGTTTTATAAAGTTTATTTCTTTCTTAGTGGCTGTTTAATTTTTTATCAAATACTTTCTTTAAATTTAAATTAAATTTTTTAAATTATTCCTAAAGGTATATAAATTATAACTATTAATACTAATTATAAATGCAAAAGTTAGGATGTATGTTCGTTATGACGTAGCCAATTCGGCTGAACGGATCTGGATGAAATTTAATATTAATTAAGATTTTTTTATATTCGCGGGGTCGGAGGCGCAAGCGACTGCTATGTAGAAATATTTTCATAAATGGGTGTGTTTTGTATGAGTGTTCCAGCAGTGAAAACTCACAAAATAAATGATTCATTCAAGCTTTAAGGTTTACTTAAATAAAAGTGATGATACGTGCTTAGATTTTAAAGCATCATCTAAGTAAGTTCAATGTACCGATTACAGGGTGCATCGGAACTTTTTCGATTGTTTAAAAACAGTTTGCGTTATTTGAATGGCCACCTTTATTTTTAAAATATTTTTTGAAGTGATTGTACAACTGGATAAAACGAACATTACAAAAAAAACAGTACAGTCACATAAACAATTGTTGTATAAATAAAATAGCTTATTTTTTATTTCACAATAGACAAAATTATCATAATTATTTTCTTTATAGCTCTATATATTTACCATAAAACATCGGAATCTCTTAGTAAAGTTTAATTCAAAAAAGATCTAACGTCAACAAGCAACGAACTCCGGGTAAAGTTCAATACGAAAATAACCCGCTCCACCTCAATATGTACTCGCGTTTCAGAACTCGCTACGCTAATTTAAAGTACGCAATTCAATATCCGCTCGATATCATAGCAATAAATCCTTAAATAAATCCTAAATAATTAATTAACAAATAGAATATTAAACTATGAAATATTCGAAAATTCAATATTCAATAATTCAATAAAAGCATGAACTTGTCAAATGTAATTTTTTTATCTCTATTAGGACCAATGACACAGTTGTACGCAAAAGTATAGTCCTTATAAATAGGAAAATATTTATCGATAATGTATAATACATCTGTATTCTTCATCTGTAAACTTGACTTTTTTATCCATATGTGCTAGCAAAGGCCTTGAAATATAAATAGTTTGTAGAGCAAGGCCCCGTCGAAACTTGTACACAAGTCCCAGGGCATTACTAAGTAAATGAGAAAAACTAAATGTTAGAATGAAAGGGATAATATATCTTAGTTATATGTTTATATGTTATTCAAATTTGAACATTACGCAGACAAAATTCCAGGAAACACGTTTATTTACACTTTTTTATTCGTCTCTGGGACATCCGGGGTACTCGAACCTTGGAGTTCACGCAACTAAAGAAGTGGAAACAGGTTTAAGCTACCCATTCTATTACAATTAAGTATCGTATAGAAAAAATTGGATTATGTGAATCTTGCAAAAATATAGATTTTTTTTAATTTTAAAAATGTTAATATTTATTTTTAATTAAAAGCCTTTCGTTAAACCTCTAGTTAGCTATAACAAGTGAGATGAACGGATGTAATATTTTATAACAGATTTTTGAGTATACAGTATAAGTCGACCAATACTTCGAGTGCCGCTTCTATTTAAAACAAACAACTCTACCAAAAGCCGTGACGTCACGCTCCGGTGACCGCCGATTATGGGTTTATGGGTCTTTGACCGTTCTATGTGCATCTTTTGAAATAATGAGCCTAAAAACTTTCGAGTGTAACTTTTGTACATAATCAAGTTTTTTAAAACTCTTCTTGGATGTTTTTAGTCAGCTTTACATATTACATCTAATGCTTTTTTTATTTTAAAACAATGATAATATTTCAAGCAATAAACAACAATAGAATTATGCGTAACAAACATAACTATATCCTCATAATATATTAATTAAAAATTAGTTTTTCAATCATTATTTTGTATCGGTCACTTAAAGTGTCTAAAACTTATTTGTAAATAGACGTATATCTAGACCCATTTTATTGAATAGGTTAGTAGAGTAATACAGGTTTAAGTTAGTTGATCGATTAAGTTTAAATATTGTCGAGGGCTATGGGCGCTTGAGGGGTTGCTGCGGAGGGCAGGGGGTAAGCGATCGATGTGCGACTGTCGGCGGTCGCGCCACGCTACCCCGGTCAGGGTCGAACTTACGCTACCCTCTGCTACCGGCTACTGCCAGCAAAGCATTAGGTCCATAAACGCAATAACGCCTGCCAACATTTTTACATAACAACCCCATCAGTTATGTTTTTGGACAAGTCGACTGCAATGTTATTTGATTTAAATTCGCCAGACAGGCGCCGTGAACTGTTAGTATTTTTAGACATTATTTGTTAGAATCCTTTGACGCGAATGACGTGCTTTCGTTACAAAGTCCAGTGTCAGAATGAATAGTCAGGGGAGAGAAACGTCGACATTTTAGTAAGGCTAGTGTTGAGTTAGTAATACTGGCTCATTTTTGCACTTTCTTCCTAACAGTATAAACAGAATAACCTACAATAGGTAGGTAGACCATGATAACGAATATTAGGTTAGTAATTTTAATTTTAATTATTTGATTCTGACCGAACTAAAGAACACTGCTACGTTTCGTCTATCTTTAGGTCAATATCAATCTGTACCAAAGTTAACCAGATAATTATTGGGCCAACCCGCCCCAGCTTCAACTGGGTGGCAAAGAATACATATTTAAACTTTTCTGTCATATCAGTACCCGTCCCGTTGGTATCCCGTAGTAATAGTAGTATAAACCGTGTAAAAACGGTCGAACCAGGTATACGGTCTGATTTTTCGGTTACGCTAGTTGTTTGTGTATAATGCACAGGAAAGGACGTTGTTTAGACTATGTACATACAATGAGCAATTTCAATAAAATACGACCTTAATATTATCATTGAAACGTTGAGATTTGGCGAATTTAAAAAGCAAATTAATAGATATTACAAATTATTTTTACGATGCGCATATTTATTTTATATGTCTGATTATAGAAAGTAAATACATAAATAAGATATAGTCGTCTTGCCATTGACATGTGTATTTTTTACTTTAGATGCTTTACGACTCGTATTTATATTTGTTGGTAAAATCCCGCCATGTACCAATGTGTTTTTCGATTTCCGATTTGCATATGTACATTCATCCGACGTTCTTACGGTGAAGGAAAACATCGTGATGCAACCTGCACATATCTGAGAAGAAATTCAAAGATATGTGTGAATTCAACCAACCCGCACTTGGCCAGCGTGGTTGACTATGGCCTAATCACCCTTAACTTAGGGTAGGCTCCGAGCCCCTCGGTGGGGACGTATAGTGAGCTGATGATGATACTCTACTATACTCTACGGAACTCAGAGACTTAAAGCGACTAAACAAAAGAGATCAAATACTAACGCTCTATTAAAGAATTGACAAAAAAATTACAATTTGTCATCTTTAATTTTACACGGCTGTACAACTTGTCATAAATTTAAAGATAATAGTTTGCTAGAATCATAGTTCAACCTAGTCGAGTAGACTTTCCTGAACGCAAATGTTTTGGCATAGACGCGTTTATTATATATTTTATTTTATCATAATACGCTATGTTAGCACTACTACGATTTCCTACAACACCAAGGGTGCTCTGATATAGAAATCTGACAAGTTAAACATTTTATTATGCTATAAATAGTAAAGTTTTTATTTGTTATAAACACACCCGCCTATTTTCTATTATCAACGCATAATAGAAAAACTAATATAAAATTTATTGCACACAGAAAAATGTACGAAGATTAAATAAAATGAAAATAGTCGAAACCATTTTTTTTCCAGTTACGTGTTAGAGGTTAGGTTTTTAATAATAAAAAAAATGTTACATATATAAGTGTCCGTTACCTCAAGTTGTGTTACGATTTTAAAATGCATTATTTTCGCGCCTTATATCGTATCTGTACTTTCCTACAGATATAAAAGTCACAGATAACTATTGTTTATTTAATCTTGATTTAATAATACAGATTATTTATTAAAATTATCAATGGAACAAAGAGGTTTATTGCCGATAGAGGTGAACAATAAATATAATGAACATTGAATACATTCAATGAGCATTAAACATACAACTAAGTCCGTCTCATTTTGATGTCTACGTGTATATTTTTAATTAACAGCACATATTTCTGGTGGTAGAAACATGAAATTCAGTACCTTCTACTTACAAATAAAATTAAAACAAACTGAAACCTACCATCTCGGTACATCGTCACGGTTTTGTAAAGACAACAAACGACGTAATTACTTGAAATACAAGTTTTATGGATATCTATAAAGCACATACAATTTGTCATGACGTTTTTGAATATTCAGTTTATTTCATACATTATTCATCGTGTTGCCTTTTATCAGTAATTACACGAATAAATTTTTTTCAACACCATTAAAATATAAAAAAATGTATATAAAAAGCAGTAAATTTTAATATTATCTGTATTTTTTCGGTGAGTAACAGAGGGGTATTAATGTGATCAGATAAAAATTAACGTGGATTTCCACTTATTAACTGTTTATAAAAAAACTCATTTCTCTTTGAAATAATAGGGAGGTGACTCAACTAGGTAAAACCAACGACAAGGGCACAATTTTTTTTAGGCAAAAACTCGGTCGTTATACAGCATGCGTGATACGAGAGTCTTGTTCCCGCATACGATAGCGCTCGGATGCCAGCGGGGTTAGACAAAATGCATTCAATTCGAAGCGATTCCATAGCGAACTTCAAAATTGTATAGAACTGACGCACGACAATCACATGACTTAATGAAAGTTGTTGTCGGTTCCATACATTTTTGAAGTTCATTATGGAATTACTTCGTAGCGAATGCACTTTGTCTGAACCCCCTGAACAGTTTTCATTAGTCGTTAGCGCCCGCATGCGTTAAAACTATTAAATTATCTGATGATACTACGCGTGAATAAAACATACATCTTTGAGTTTAAGACTTCTAAGGTCAATGACATTTATTATCTTATTACGATTACTAAATGCGATAAATAAAAATACTGCTAAATGATAAGTAAAATAGGTACATTGTTGACCGTCACAATTCACGCACCAAAAGGGTTGCAAACAAAATAGTCTCCAATTGGTGACAATGAGTCATTAAACGTTACATCCACGCATATTAATAGTATAAAGGAAGTGTTTGTGTGACATAGGAAGAACTGCTATAATGATTGACATATTGAGTGTTACCTGAATTTAAAATATAATATTTTTGCTTAAATACTAAAAAAAAAATATAAAAATTATAAAATATAGTCACATAACCTCGTCAAGATAACCTAAACAAAAATTTTAATGTCACATTTTTTCACATTTGTACATTAAATGTAGGAGGCAAACACAATTAGTAGGCCATTTGTGGAAGTAGTACGCAGATGTTACTATTTATTTTAAAAATCATGAGGGATACATTGAACTCTCGCTCGCTTTTATACTCTACAAACGATATGAGATACGGCTGTTTACTTTTATAACGTCACTTGAATAGTATTTGATTTTTTTAAATATTTAAATACTAAAGCACTCTCTATCTCGATAATTGCTTTTTGTTACATTTTACGTTCCAGAACATCAAAGCTACGTTATAAGAAAATTTCGAATTTATGATGTTCGTTAAGGTGAGCTTTGTAGTGATTAATTATTCTTAGAACGCAGATTGAAAGCGGCTCGGCAATTAGTTACATAAAGGCGCACAATAACACGTTAAGAATACAAAAAAAACATTGTTTGAAATTAATTTGTTCCATTATCTCTCTTATTCGTAGTCTATTTGAACAAAAAACTCACTTGCAAGTCCGCCGTAATTTATACAGAAAATAATTTTTATTTATAAACGCACTTGAAACATATCTTAAATTTTTCTATGTAAATGACATAAATAGGTAAAATACTCACTTCAAATCCCGAGGCAAAGTTTTGATAATGACGTAGATGCGTTTCCTGTATCGGTAGAGGCAGGGTGCGACCGCTAGGAGAGCGAAAATCGCAGCTTTGGAGAGGGTGCTCAGCACGGCGGCCATCGCTGCCGCCAGTGCCATGAGAGCGACGAGCGCTGCCAAGATAGCGTCCATGCTGGCTACCGTCCCAGTGGGACACGTCGCGGTATGTCCGGCCGCGGCCAACAGTAAACAACGCCAGTAACACTCGCACAGTCCGCGGGGACCAACGCGTCTGCCGACCACCGACAACGCTATGTGAATGCGCGAAGGACATGCGTCGCGTGACGCAAGTCAATGGCGTCGCTCGCCTCGGGGCCAGGTGCACATGCGCGGACAACAGCTGATCCCTCAGGCGGGGATCGACACACAAAAACAGCTAAATAATATATATAGGGTAAACGTTTATACAAAATTTTACATCACCGATGCCTTTTGTATCGGATACAGTGACGTTTCAGTGGAACAATATTGACAGAGCTTTCAATTTCGTAAAAAGAATTTGTTTATGTTAATTTAAGAAGATTTTCGTAAGAAGGCAGAGGTTTAATTGTAGAAAAAAAATTAGCCTCGGTCTCTATCGTCCGCGACACGTTTTCTACGTGCTAAATAATCCAAACGTTGTTACACTGCCGTAGCCTAGCCCGCTGTGTAGTCTGAGTTGAGCATAAACTGCGAACATTGTTATAGACATTGATAATATCTTATCTATTACTCCAAACCGTACTCTTACTATCTTTTTTATCAAAAAGTTAAGCAAACTTTGTTTTTACATATAATATCGAGATACACAACTTTGGTTGTACAAATATTTTTTTAACAGCAACTGTGATGTAAAAACGGGTTCAGCAGACCGCGTCTCTAGTCACCTAGACTGCGTTTTTCTTTAGATATAATTGATATTGGAAGATGACTTACCAACTCTATATCACAGTTCTATGCAGGATACTCACCACAATCGACTGGCATCGAGTCGTTAGAACCGGAGAGGGTTTTTAAAACTACCTACATGTGCAGAACCTCGAAAAGAACGTCCGTTTACACACTTTTAGATTCAATAAAAGAATATTCGTAACGGAAAAAATCCATTCGCAAAACTAACATTTAATTAGAAAAATATGGTGTATTTATATATGTTTTCTGGGTATTTTTATCGCGTTTAGAACAAAATTACTTTGATTTCTCCGTTGAGTAATAAAATTGCCGGGACATTGCGAAAGAGTGACCGAGATTGATAACAGACGCTCTTATTTTATTGAAAATTTTAAAACATTACTTTTTTATTCACATCAGGCCATTATAGAGTTACATTATTTAGCGATCTTTATTACACCCTTAGTACAATCGTTAAAATGTAAAAAAAACAACGCAAAAGTAGTAAAAGATAATAAATAAGTCTTCACTTATAACAAAGTCTTGTTAAAGTTGTTTGCTCTTTTTATTATCAATGTTTAACAAGAAAACAGATTAAAACGTCTTTAATAATATTTGTATGACAAATATATCAATAAATTGTACTTACCGTTGCTTTCTAAGACAAAGTCTCTGTATCAATAAGATTTCGGTCTCGAAAACCCACGGTTAGTCCCATACTTTTGAGTCATAGTTATTGACACGGTGTTATTATTGTATTGTCACTTTCACGCAAAGGATTGATAAATATTATTAGTAAATAATACACTATAGTTATATATTTAAAATACACATTTAATTACATAAACAGGCATCTAGCAACGTCACCCCATTACCTTTTAAAAACTTATACACTATGTGTAAACATAAATCAAAAAGCTATAATTTTCAGTCTTTATACATTCAGATAATGGAATGAATTAGTACTGAAAATTATATTGAGATTGCGGCAAGTTGTAATTCAATATTAACCATAAGACTGAAAAAAAAAATTATGACGGGCATTAAAATTTAATCGAATACATAAACAGTGTAAAATTACTCAAGAAGAACGCAAGTTTCCCTCTAAATGATATTTAATCTAAAGAAAATATTCGAGAATCAAATTCAAGTCCCACATAACACTGTATTTTAATTATTCAAACTTTCGTGAGACATTATACTAAACTGATATATAAACACGGCTAAACACTCACGTATATTCGTCCGGTGGCGGCACCGACTAGTCCGAGCCCATCGGGGGCCCTTCATCAGGATGAGTGGTACTGGTATTATTTCGCGGCGCGTCCGCCGAAACTAGTCGGTGCCGCCACCGGACGAATATACGAGAGTGTTTAGCCGTGTTTATATATCAGTTTAACACTGTATTTTATTTTTAAATTGCATTTGAACAAGAGAAACACTCGTACAAAAATCATTTTTTTAAGTGAGATAGAATGTATTATACTCGTAGATTTGTGACAGTGGAAATTCTCCATTACAACCGCACTATAACGAGGACAGTATTTTTTCTAATAAAATTAACAATTAGTATATATATAAAAAAAACTTTTATGAGTAACAATTCCTAAAGAGACATAAAAAGCTGATTGCTGAGTGAAATTTGTAGAACCTTAATAGTCTTAAACATAATCTTTTAGCTATTTGAGACTCAATGTTTTATTCAAAATTAAACAATTATTACGAAACAAAATATACAAATATCGATAGATAAAACAATAATTTTAAGTACATTTAATTTTTGTATTAACACATTTTACAGCACATACAATGAGTTCACAATAACACGGTTTTCATATATCGTTGAGTATTAAAAATCACGAAACATCACAAGAAAGTAGTTTAAAATATCACCTGTATTTATTTGTATCTGATGACGTTATTATAATATTTTGAAAATTTCAATAATACTTTGCGCTAAAAATGCACGTGATTTAACCTAGGGGAGGATAGCTTCAAACGTAATCAACGTATAGAAATTGAAGTAAACACATTTTACCGTGAGTTTCTGAGACTGAAATCTCCGTTTAAAACATATTGTTATCTCTGTTTTGTTAAATCAAATGACAGCGATACACTTGACTTTCTTGTTATTGTTTACACAAAGGCAAATAATATGATACATACAATATTTATTATATAGACAATTATCACAAAGTATTCAAGCCGTTATCAGCTATGCTTTAAACAAAGAAAATAAAAACAATATCTTGAGTCATTGATCTACTTAATTATACATATACAAACATAACAAGTAATAAAAGAAATTTATTATTTCTGTAATAATAAACATTAACCTCTCGCGTCTTGTGTAGTCAAGTTGTGACTAAAATATGTTCTACCATAAAAATGTTATATATTTTTCTTTACTACTCAGAAGTAATATATTTTTTTCCATCAATAGAGAATACTTCTAAAGGAATATCTTGTTGTTAAGTCGATTAGTTGAACGAAATAAAAATTGCTTTTGAAATTTAATTTTATACACATTTTTGTTACACAAAATTTTTATATAAAAAAAATGAATCGAACTTTGTTCATGCCCGACAAGGGTAAGGTTTCGTGAGCATTCGTTTTGTGACTGCTAATAGCCTAAACGCCATATCCGATTTTAAAATTTGAAGTATACATTTTCTTTCCCTTAAGGTTCATTTACATAGCCGGAATCGTACGAACAATGGCCGTCGTCAGAGCGAGACAGACATATGGGGATACATGAGATCGCTATACTGCTACTGACGTCATCTGACAGTTCGAACTGACGCTCGTTCGTCGCATTAGAGCGAGACAAACATTTGCGAATACATGAGACCACTATACCGCTACTGACGTCATCTGACAGTTCGAACTGACGCTCGTCTGTCGCGTTAGAGCAAGACAAACATATGAGAATACATGAGATCGCTATACCACTACTGACGTCATCTGACAGTTCCAAGTGTACGTACGATTCTGGATTATGTCTATATGAACCTTTTACAGAGGTACAGTCAGTCTGGACTTTTGTAATTTAATTACTAGTTGGGACTTTATAATTACAGTCTTATTTTTCCATTGCCTATATTCTCGTACTCGTCAACACCGAGCGGCAGGTAGCGCCCTTGTTTCAGATCTAAGTAATATAACTTGTCATTCTTTACCAGACTGGGGTCAAAACCTTCTTTCTGTAGATCGATTTTCTTCATTTTAAATGTACCTAAAAATACAAAGACAATTAAAAAAACGCCAATGGAAATTTACAGACTATATACTCTTAATTTTAAAAATAAATATGAAAAGAAATGAATCATTAACACTTATTTTTTTCGGCCTTGCCAACACAAGGGATGTAAATCTTTGGAAAACGTCGATTTTACTTGTTAAGCGGTTTACACAATACAATGTCATAGGCACGCGTCGCCGACTTTTTGGTCTAGTCGCCAAAAGTAGTCACTCCCAAACTGTCACGATCATCGTGGGAAAAGTCGCTACAATTTTTGAAGATGGCGGAACTTTATACAGTTGACATGTAGTGACCGACAAGCGTGGACGATTCAATGTTGTGGACGGAGCACTCAACGCGATACTCAGGATGCAAGGATAAATTATTGGTTTTGAAGATTTATAGGGGATTAGAGTTTGAAGCCAACTATTTTACAATTGTAAGAGAGTATAGAGATAATTAAAGGATATTACCGGTCATATCCATGGCGGACATGACACGTATGAAGACAGGTCGGGCGTACGCGGGCAGGTCACGGGCGAGGTCGCGGGCCAGCTTGTCCAGATCCAGCGAGCTGTTCGCGTCTACTATGCCGCACATCCCCGCACGACCTTCTGTGTTCGGCACCTGCAATTATATACATTAATGTATTGCCTTGAAAACAAAACTAGTTTTATTCATTTGACTGTACCTTCTTTAATATAAGCAACATAGTTTATTTATCTTACTCCTTACTAATATTAAAAGTAGGAAATTTTTTATTTTAGATATGGATGGATGAATATCATCAGGCGCTTATATAATATGTTAAGTGTAATTTTCTTATAAGTCTACACACCTTTAGTCTTTTACCGTGGGTTTCTGAGACCAAAATCTCTGTTTAAAACATAACATTATCCCTGTATCTTTAACAAAACAAAAAGAACAATATGTTTTTAAACGCAGATTTGGTCTCAGAAACCCACGGTTAGTAAACAAATCTGACTAGTAAATGACTGAAGAAGAAATGTTTTTTAGTTAGTTTTTATTTTCAACAGTTAAACCTAACTTTTTGTCTAACTGTTTTTTCTGACAAACCAACTCGTTCGGAGGCAAAAAACTCAATGATATTATAAAACCATTATTGCGTAAGGTCAAAGCAATAACGAATTGAAACGCTGCGGCAAAACATTTTCTATAAAAAAGTCAAAATAATTTGCTAAAAGTAGTCGAGCAAGATACAACAAGAATAAATTAATGATTCTATAAATAAATAAACAATAATAAAGACCATTAAGCTACACAAGGAAAAGGTCAAAATAATTTCTTATTATTAGAACAACTTAAGAATCATAGAGAAAATTCTAGCATAGACTAGACTCTATTACTAATATAAACGTGAAAAATTAGTTATATGGATGTTAGAAGTTGTCTTCAGAAGGGATTTTGATGAAATTTGGCACAGATGTAGAACATAGTTTGGAAGAACACATAGGCTACTAGTTGACTTCTTTTAATCCGCGCAGACGGAGTCCAGGGTTACTATAGAGAATAAAACTATGCTAAATTTTAACTTGTACCAAATAACAAGTATCGAACAAATATAATTATATTTTGTTTAGTAGTTTAAGTTTATCCTGGACATACATGACATGAAAATACTGTGTACGTACCAGGACTCCATAAACAACAGCGTCCCGGTGATCAGCGACTCTGGAGATGGCGGCCTCCACCTCAGTGGTGCTGACGTTCTCGCCGCGCCATCGGAATGTGTCCCCGGTTCTATCCCGGAAGTACAAGTAGCCCAGCTCGTCTGCTACCAGAATGTCACCTGCAACCATAAACCCACATATTCTATTTTGTTGTATAAATCATTTCAAAAACATAATCGATATCCGCTTCAAGTAGTCTTACTAATGAAGGTTGGATGTATGGATGGATGTTTGGTAGAAAATAACTCCAGAACGGATGAATGGATCTTTATGAAATTTGGCATAGATGTGGAACATAATCTATAAGAGCACATAGGCAACTATTTTTTTTAATTCCGCGCGGACGGATTCACAGGCGACAGTTAGTTTCAAAATAAGTCTTGGGTAACACCGTGTATTTACACTGAAAAACATGTTTTTGTACAACAGTGGAAACCTTCGTTACTAGCTCCTAACAGTATTTACCGGATATGAATGCGGAGTCGCCGTACTTGAACACGTCTCTAACAACCTTCTTCTCTGAAGCGGACTTGTCGACGTACCCGAGGTACTCCCGGGTCGGGTTGTTGGGCGATATCTTCCCAATGAATACGCCAGGTTCATTTGGATTTGCCAGCTATAGACCAAATAAATTATTCCTATAAATTTAATTAAAAGAATAGACAAATATTTACACCAGAGTACAAATTACTCTCAAAATTCAGAAAATTATAACAAAGTCCTACGAAGCTGCGTCGATTTTTATCAATCCGCAATTATCTACCGTAAATTAAATTTTACTAAAGCAAATAATATTACGTAATAGTAAAAATATTTTTTTTTATTAGAGAATATTAAAAATACAAAGTTTAAGCTTACTTGGCACAGTCCCCTGGAATCTCGTATAGGTTCGCCTGTCTCCTGGTCCACTTTGATGATGGCTATGGGGTATATACTGGGCAAGATGCGAGACACGAAACCTATGGCGCCCGGTGTACCGTCCGTATTGGCTATAACAAAAATAATACTATTAATAGGAAACTATGGATGTTTGGATGGATGTTTGTTTCTCCATATCTCCAGAACGACTGAACGGATCTGGCTGAAATTTGGCATAGATATAGAACATAGTCTGGAAGAACACATAGCCTACCAATTAGGTTTTTTTCTTTAATTTCGGCCAGACGGAGTCGCGGTATTTCATAAAACTAAAACATATCATAGTAGTATAGTTCCTTATAAGCATACCTATATTAGCATTGCCTTCTGTAGCTCCATAAAACTCAACCACATGTTTGATATTAAATCTCTTGAGGAAGTCCTTCCAAATCTGAAATAAAAAAACACGTTTTCAAAATACAATGTTGATTTTAGCATATTTATATAATAAAATTAAGATAATATTATTTAGTTGATAAAATTATTGTTATAAAACTAAGCATTTAAGTTCTGGTTATTATTATGCACATAAATAATCACTTCATTGGCCCGCTGATAATCAGGTCGTCCACATTTTGTAATACATACCTATTCTTGTTTCTATACGACAATGTTCTATTTAAAACTAATACATAATTAAAAATGTATTCCTTGTAACTAATGTAGTACGTGCCAGTTTACATTTAAATTATTAACGTTCATAAGTTCAATCAAACAAAAAAAAAAATACTCTTTAAATTTACTCCCTTTACAAGTAGTTATTATCTATATATATAAAAATCAATTGCTGTTCGTTGGTCTCGCTAAAACTCGAGAACTGCTGAACGGATTTACCTTAACTTGGTCTTGACATATTCGTAAAGGTCTAGGGAAGATTTAAAAGGTGAGAAAAAATCGAACAATTGCCGGGAAAACCCTTTAGGAACCTTTTTAAAATCCCGCGCGGACGGAGTCGCGGGCGACAGCTGGTTATTAATAAAAAAAAAGAATAAACCTTTAAGCAGATCAATTTCCTTATGTTGATGAAAATTGATTTAGCGTAAATAATGCGACATACTGAGTTTTTGAGGGTTCAACGGAATAAAACTGCGTTTTTTTGACTTACCTGTGGTCTCAGTCCGTTGCCGAAGATGACGCGCACGTTGTGGTGCGTGTCCGCGTGCGAGGGGGGCGTGGCCAGCACGTACCTGCACATCTCACCGATGTAGTGCGCCACCTGGTGTAACACGACAACACTACTCATTTCTAATATCTTTAAGTACATAAATATCTATAAAAAGCACAGGTACTCTGTGTGTCTTCATTCTTCTCTGTGTTTCTTCATTTTTTTATGACTATTTAGCTTGGTTATAACATTATTTGGATTTTAACGTTATTTTTACTTAAGCATACCAAAGCATTTCGGATTAAGTTATTTAAAATTGAAACATATGACAAACAGTGGTAATTTAATCATTAATATGCATAGTTCAAACGTAATAAAGTCCAAGGTGAAGTATATGCTTAGTTAACAGTTATGAACCGTACAGGGATCGGTTTATATCATAAATATATAATAAAAATGTTATAAACTATTAGTAGTTAAGACAAAATATATATAAAAAGACAGTTTCAAACATACAGTATCACTTCTCGTACTATAACCGTAATATATCAGACGACCTATTTAACACTAATGATGCATTGTATCTCGAACTCTTATCGTTTGTATAAAAGTTTCCATGCTACTAATTTAGTATAAATCCTTCTATATTAATATAATTAAACTAAGGAGTTTGTATGAGCTTCAATTTAGAATAAAAATTCTAGAATAATATTTAGCAATTACTAAAATGATTATACTATGTGTTAATGACTTTTGCATATAATAATCATATTTTTAATATATATATATATATATATATATATAATTATATATTAGCATAAATCTAATGAGTTTGTAAGAATTAATTTTATCAAATTTAAAACATATTTTACGTATATATTTGTGTACATAGTATAATAATGCAGTGGGGTTTATTGATTTTAAATTAATAACTAAGTAAACAAAGATAACGTGCTTGCACTGAGTTAAGACAAATACATATATATATATTAACACTTCCGAGTGTTTTTCCGCTGTAGTTTTTCCTCGATCATTAAAAACATATATCTTATTGTATGTTAGTACGATTAAAATGAGAATTGAACAGTTAGTATTGTGGGCCGTTATATTTTTATATAACGTCGAAGGAAGTTTGGAAATCAATAAACTCAGAAAGTACAGCACTGATGTAGTTTTTTAAGTTTATTAGTTAAAGCTACAGTACCGATGTAGTTTTTGAGTTTATTAGTAAAAACTACAGTAACGATGTAGTTTTTGAGCTTATTAAAACCCCAGTACCGAAGTAATTTTGAGCTTATTAGTAAAACTATGTAGTTTTTGAGTCGTTCCAAAAAAAATCAATATTAGTGTATAATAATTTACCGTAGCTTTATATTTTGCGCAGTCTGGGAAGAATTGTGATGCTGAGAATTTGCTCTTGAGTATAACCGTGCAGCCGAACAACAGCGCCTGGCCTACGCTGATGACACCCCCTGCCGTGTGGTACAGTGGCAGCGGACAGTATATCGTGTCCGAAGACTGCAGCCTCATATGATGTATCGCTGATGCCATGAACACAAACCTAAAAGCATACATGCTACGTTTGACTCCTTATATTTTTAGACTTTTTTTCCACTAAGCGACAGATTTACGCACAGTACGTGCGTATTAAAGTACTTGTCTCTTTGGGGACCTACTGAATAGAGGTCGTACATGTGAACCTCTCTTAAGTAGAATACGATCGTGAAAGGGTTAATTTTTTTTATTCTTTAATTTTTTTTATTCTTTAAAGTAATACAAAATATGACACATTTTGATACCATCAGTACAAGAGATTCAAGTGTTGTTGCTTTGATTGTTGGTGAAAGTGAAAATAAGGTCGAGCGGGAAAGTAAAACGGGTGAATGGCGCGATGTGGGTACAACGCAAGCCACTCAATGGACATGTACCGTGTACATCAAAACATTTCGATAATCAAAGCTAAAATAATATAAAGAATCAAATCCTAAACAAAACAAACTTACATTTCGTGATTAATGTATGAAAATGAACTCAACAGGTGTGTTTTACAAGCCACAGCAAATGAGTACATTTAACTCAAATGCTAATGCTCATTAACAATTCAATTGCTAAACTAGTACGTTAGGTAAAGAATATAACATTTATGTTTAACTAGGTTCCGCCCGTGACTCCGTCCGCGCGGAAAAAAATACTCAATTAGTAGCCTATGTGTTCTTCCACACTGTATTCTACATCTGTGCCAAATTTACCAAGATCTATACAGCCGTTCTGGAAATAACTTCAAACAAACATCCATCCATCTAAACATACGCATTTATAATATTAGTAAAAAGTAAGATGAATAACAAAAGTACTACTGACCTAGAATTAGAAATGACAGCTGCTTTCGGAAGACCTGTGGTACCAGATGTGTAGATGTATAACAATTTTCCATGGAAACCATCTGCATCTGCCAAACTCCAAGTAGCCGGGGGTGTTGTCTCCAACATTGCAGTGAAATCACGGATACTGTCACCACTTCCATCGGCCGAAGATTTCGATGGATTTAACGGACGATGTGTAAATTTAAATAATTTAATTGAAGATCCCAGCTCACTTGCAATCTCTTGTACGGCTGAAATTAACTCAATAATAAACAAGCTAGGCTAAACTATAGGTCAACGTATGGCCGCATATAAAAAAATAAAACCGGATTGAACAAATAGTGAATACATAACCTTGAGAAAAATGACCCACGTGTCAGTTGTACAAAAAAGATTCAGTTGATATTCAAAAATTTATACAATGAAGTATTTTTTGTCTCAAAGAAAGATACATTTTGTGTAAACGGTATAAGAATAAATATTTAAATTGTGGGATTACCTATTGTAATAGAATAATCTCAAACAAGATAAAAATCTTCATGAATAAAACATTTATGTAATTTAGTTTTTTACAATGTTATAATTACATATACTTATAATACTTAATTAAGCATTTAAGTCATACTGCGTACAATACTGAGTGGGTTTAAAATTCAATCAGAGCATTTTTCCATAGCGTCTTAAAATTAGTGCAAAATAGGTTTAAAATGCTAATAAAACAATCATACATTCAGACACATGAATCATATCAACTAAGAAGCTATAAAAAACTTTATGTCTTAGATCTGAATACCATAAAAAGTTTATATCGTACTTAAATAACAAAAAAAGTCGATGAAACAATGATTCAACTATTTTCCCCCCTTTTTAAATTGACAATTAGACTTTTGTTTTTGGTTAATTACTGTATTATACTTTTTTATAATTTTGTTTTAAACAAAAGTTGTATTGAGTATTTAAGTGTCTTCATATACTGAGGGAATCAGGCCTACTCTAACTCAATGGTGACCAGGTAATAAACACCCACACTGGCCCAGTGTGGATTGGTTGATTTAGCACTTATCTCTGAAATTCTTTGATGACATGGGCAGTTGCATAACAATATTTTTCTTCACCGTAAGAATATTAGATATTAAAAATATTTGTAGTAATATTCATACCTGCCTGATATTCTTCGGAAAATATCAATACATCACATTTGGCGACATTAATAGAGTGTATCAAAGCATTTCCCCGTTGATTTGTGTTGATGAGTGGTGTTATACCACCCAGCCTTGCGTTACCTAGCCATAACGCTGGCATTTGTGGGCAATTGTTAACCAATAAACCTACGACATTTCCTTTCTTTACACCATTGGCTTTGAGTACTGCTGATACACGTAAACTAAAGTCTTCAACCTAGAATAAAAATTCTAGAATAATATATTTTAGCGATAACTAAAATGATTATATTATTTGTTAATGGTATTTTGCATACAATAATCATGATATTTACATACTTTAGACATTTTGTAGAAATAGCTAAATTGATAAATAATTAGTAGAACCTTGAAAGTTTTTTTTTAGGCAAAATACATGATTTATGCAGATTCCCGTGTCTCTTGTGTCATTATAAATTGAGTTGTAACACTCTTAAAATGTGTTTGTGTATGTGCATATATCCACAATAATAAAAACAAAATGTGTTCAGTTTTAATAAAGAAATGAGAGAAAGCTAAGGTCTTTCAAAGTTATTTTTTGGTGGCTAATATACCCTACAACTCATAAATTCATAGAACAACCTGCCATATTTTTTTAATATTTATATAACAAAGGTTGTTACAGTTCATGTATTACAAAGTCAATAAGTGATGGCCTTGATAATAAAGTTTGGAAACATTCAGGGCAATTAAATTTTTTTCATTATGTACATTCATTTGTTTTTCAGTCTCATCTCATGATAGCATAGTTGTTTAACAATTAACACATTCCACACCACAATTTTTTTGTTTGAAAATGAACTTGACAGGTGAGTCAGTGACACTGAATGTGTTAACAGTCATATGATAAGGTGGATTCTTAAAATATTAATCTATCTACATTTAATGTTCTTTTAATCTAATAAGATTCTTGTAAAATTGGTTTTTGATCATAATTTCCAATAAAATATTAAAATAATTTCTAGTTAACTTTAAAAGATTATTGGTCAATGAAATATGATTATTTAGAATAACCTAAGCAAAGCCATTAAAAAAAATGTTTGCAAAAAGTGTTTTCAGGACTATTTTTGGGAGTTACCAACCTCTTTGAAAGTCCAAGTTTCATCTTGAAAAACAAAACAAGGTTTTTCCGGATGTCTTTGGACTACAAAATGAAATATATCAGGCAAAGTCCAATTTTTCCTCGTCAACTGCCATGTAAGTAGTAATATCTTGAAGTAACAAATTAGTGCTCTAAAAATTTAAAAAGAATTAAGTTTTTCATTGATAGCACAACACGAAAATATAAGTTCAATTTATATTATATCATAATTTTGATGTATACATTTGTAACTTATTGAATATTAATAAAAGGAACAATCTTGAAGGAAATACACAATACATCATTTCATGTCCCACATTGTTTTACTTAATGATTTTATAGTTCTTTATAACACATAACCTGTTGGAGGCACTGTCATATTTAAATCAAATGAGGAATATTAAATAGTAAAGACATAGTTCAAATGTATAAACAGGTCAGGTTACTTAATAACTTAGTAGGACAAAGTACGAGCCGGAAGTTTACCTGATATCCCTTGGTGTAGTGACTAGAGCAACGTAGCACCATCTTGTATGGAATATTAGGGCATACAAAATACCTAGACCGAGCCCCACACCGCATGTTGCGAAGAATCCGAGAAACCACCAAACAGCACAAAATGCCGCTAAAATAGCGGCCACTACGAATATCATCGCGACCGCTTTGCACCACGAAGCGCGGTTAACTGTTACAAACCAACAACATCGTCGACGCACACCGATCGTTGAAAATCTTCGCTTCGCCAGGTCGCTAACCCGTTAAACTTGTTTAACGATGCGATATAAATTTTAAACTGTTGCCGCCAAAATTCACAATGATCATGAAAATAAAATAGCAATAATACGCTCAATTTTTTCTCATATGTTTACATTTAACGTGTGTTCTTTTCTTTAACAATATCCTTGTATTGTATTCTAGATAGTAAAAAATTAAAATCAGGCCAGAAATATTATGTAAGTATTTATCAAATATTCAAATGGTTAATTCGTTTTAAGAATAGTTGAAATGTGCATTCAGGTAAATATAATAGTATACATTGAATTATTGGATTGGAGATTATTAAAAACTATACAATGCTTAGCCAAATGTCAACAATCAAATGTCAGTGTCAACAGCCAAGAAGCCCTGAATTTCACCAATGAACCAAAGAGCATGTAAGAGCCCGCGCAGCCAGGCCATTAAGCATTTTATAGAAGTTATTTTTATACTAGTAGCCGCTGCCGTTGGCCTTTTGTCCTTAGAGATGTGCAACTAGAGGAAGAGATCCATATGTTTTGTTACCAGACCTTGGGCAGAATAATTTTTTTTCTTATCCTTATCCTCTCCCGCGCCAGCTTGTTGACCAGACAGTTATCTCGCCCTTATATAATCTCATGTGCCTCGATCAGTAATGATAGCTCTTTTATGTTACTGCACAAGTAAAAAATTTACCAAATGTACAAGAATAAAGTGAAACTCCAATATTTTCATGAAAATAGATTTTATTAGGTTGTCTACATAAAGGAAATAAAATTGACCCAAAAAAACATAAAAAAGTAACTTAACCTAATACAGAAATAAAACATAACTTTACAGTACAAACGGTATTCAAAATTGTTAAATTTTTGTCCCTGGCTTGAATACTGTTTACAGTCTAGCCAGCCTATTCTAATCAGCTGAATAGTTGCGAACATTGGAACTATAACCATAACAGGAAACAGGAATGCTGAAGCCATCAAGCTGGCTCAAATTATCAGCTATCGATACTCGATATAGGCGAATCCATTTCACATAAAATACTATTTCCTTGACAACGAATTTTTATAAAATGTTAACTAAACATCCACCAATTGTCCAATTCTCAGCTAATTATCTTTAAAATTATATAAATAAGTAATATTAAAAACAATGTCTAATTCTTAATTAAAATCACAGTCTTATCTGTCCTGTCTTAATTTTTTCATATTCGTCAGGACTTAAGCTAATGTACTTTTCTGATTTAGGGTCCAAGTAGTAGATCTTGTCTTTTATTATCGATGGATCGTAACTTTCTTTTTGTAAATCCACTTTCTTTAGTTTGAATGTACCTGGAACATAATGTATTTTTAAGATAATAGGTTTGTTACATAAATTTTATATTTAAATGTTACTTAACTACGGATATGGTTTTAGTTAAAAGGTTAAATATATTTACCTGTCATATCAAGACTGTCCATGACACGAAGAAAAACAGGCCGAGCATATTTGGGCAGATCTCTCGCCATGTCTTTGACCAATCTCTCCAGGTCTAAACTGCCATCCGTGTCAACTATACCGCACATTCCCGCTCGACCCTCCGTGTTAGGAATCTGTGAATAACAATATTATCATACTTATGCATACTGAGTACTGAGACGAACAAAAAATTATAGTATTATTAAAAATTCACGAAATACATTTTATATTAAAGAAAAGAGGATTTTTCTGATAGTCAAATTGAGATTTGTTAGGTACCTCTACACCGTAAACAACAGCATCCCTTTGATCAGCGACTCTGGAGATGGCGGCCTCCACCTCAGTGGTGCTGACGTTCTCGCCGCGCCATCGGAATGTGTCCCCGGTTCTATCCCGGAAGTACAAGTAGCCCAACTCGTCTGCTATCAGGATATCTCCTTGAAAAGCAAATACAAAAATCATTAGTAAATCAATATCTCCTAATAATAATGATAAATTTGAATAAATAAAGATTACATTGTGGGAAAATCCATTTTTTTTAACGTGGGTGTAATGATTAATATTATATGTCGAAATACGATGTCAATGACCAGCATTATTTTATATTTAAATAAAAAACAGCTAAGAGCGAACTTGGTTTAAAAATTATTTTTAATATCGACATATTTTATATGTAGTGTAGCAATTTATTTTCGGTTATCAAAAGGGGCGAGAATAAATAATATTACAAAATTGTGATTTGTAATCTGTGCAAGAAGAGAAAACTTACCCGATATAAATGCTGAGTCGCCATGCTTAAATACGTCTCTGACAATTTTCTTTTCAGAGGCTTGTTTATCGACGTATCCAAGGAAAGCTCGTGAAGGGTTGCTCGGATTTATTTTGCCAATAAACACTCCTGGTTCATTTGCTTTTGCCAGCTAAAAATAAAGTTTATAGGTATTGTAGAAATTAAAGCTATTAAAGAAAATCCATAGCATGACTGCAGAAACACTTTTATTGACACATATTTTAAATCTACTACCGCCCTGTTCGAGATTTCAGCGATGTTTGCAGACCTGTTGCTCCCCTTTCTGTCCAGCGCACTTCGCAATAGTCGAACGGCTCTGGCAGCTAAAACTCTTAGTAATGCTTAACATACCTGACAGAGTCCGCGGGAATTTCTTATAGGTTCTCCGGTATGCTCGTCCACTTTGATGATAGCGATGGGATATACCGCAGGAATAATCCTAGATATAAAGCCGATAGCTCCAGTCTTATTGTCAATATTAACTGAAAATATTACAAGATAATTAGAATAATAGAGTATTAAATATTTAATTTAAACGACAGTATTTTGAATAGATAGTCGTTGTAATTACCTATATTAGCGTTTCCTTCGGTAGCACCATAAAACTCAACCACCCTTTTGATGTTAAATCTGTTAACGAAGTCACTCCAGACCTGAGACAAGAAATAAGATAAAAATATAACATCATATCTTTATTTTATACCTTTAATTATTTAGTCACTAGCTGTCATTCCCGACTCCGTCCGCGCCGTATTAAAAACAACTTAATTAGTATGTGCCTATTTGCATTTATAATGTAAATAAGAAGTAAGATTGTTTATGATGTTTACTTACAGTAGGTCTCATTCCATTTCCATAAACCGTGCGGACAGTGTGCTGTTTGTCGGTAGGTTTTGGAGGAGTTGCCAGTATGTAGCGACACATTTCGCCGATATAGTGTGCAGCCTAAAAAAATAGTTTGTATATCAATTAAGATAAAAATAACAGACAGGTACTAGTAACATAATTCGAATTTACCAAAGATATTAAATCATATATTATACTTCATTTTTATTATTTAATTATTATTAATTTATTAATTTAAGACATAAAAAGTACTCGCACATTCATTAACTATAGGTTTCTAAGACCAAAATCTCTGTATAAAACATATCGTCATCCCTGTCTTTCATCTTTAACAAAACAGAGATATCAATATGTTTTCAACGAGGATTTTGGTATCAGAAACCAACAGTAAGTAAATTAAAAATGAACAAAAAAAGGTACAACCTTATGGTTAGCAAAAAGTACACTTTACGAAACAAAATTAATTACTTGCATAAAAAATTAAGCTAAGTGTTTTTGTGAGCAAACATAATAACGTAATTTTTTTTATTATCAACAGAGAGATTGAATGACGAAAATCTCATAATTGACTACACTTACGGTTGCATTAAATTTGACGCAATCTGGGAAATACGCGGAAGCTGAAAATTTGTTCCTCAAAGCGACTGTGCAGCCAAAGATGAAAGCCTGACCCACAGTGATGCAGCCCCCGGCAGAGTGGTACAGAGGCATGGGACAGTAGATCACATCTTTTGGCGACAAACCCCCAAGGTAATGAACTCCCGAAGCCATGAACACCATTCTAAAATCAAAAGTCAATAATTACAGTAACAAGTAAGAAAAAGCTCAAAGAACCTACTGAAACTAAAATACGATATACACAGAATGTGATGAAATAAGCTATAACTAACTCTATTTAAAAAAAATAGCAATTTTGTAGCTTTGAACCTGTAAGTTCAATAACCATAAGTCATAACCTATTTTGTCGTCCTACTTCCATTGTAACTATACAAATATCAAATAGCTAGAAAACTAAAATAAAGAATATTTGGCTTTGAATATCAATTACCATAGTTACCTGAAACTTTGAAGATGATAATATTATCCAGCATAAAACATCAAATAAAATAATAATTAAACAGTTACCTTGAAGGCGAGATAACAGCAGCTTTAGGTAATCCAGTAGTTCCAGAAGTGTAAATATACAATAGCTTTCCGTTGAAACCATCGCTATCAGAGGGGCTCCAGGCGGCTGGTGTTGTATTCTCGAGAAGTCCCGTGAAATCGTTTGAATCTTCAACAACTTTAACTGAGTCGGATGATACGTTCAATGGACGCCGAGTGAACTTTAACAACTTTATCGAAGGGTCCAAATCTTTCTTTACTTCCTGGAACGCTGTAAACAGAAAAAAGTTAAATAAATAAAAAAATCTAAAGTTGTAAGGAAATGTCAGAGAAATATGATTTTGCTTGCTTTACCTTAATACGTAATTTGACACATAAAGGTAAAGGTTACCGAAACCATTGCTCTTTTAAAGGTGAAGTGCGTGATATTTCATCGCACAGTCCCGAAAAAAGGTGAATATTAATAGGCGAGGTACAAGCGTGAATTTATTCCGACTTAATGCTTATGTATGTAATCGATAAATCGAGGTGAAGGACCCAGTGTATTGGTAATGTTAAAACAAAACAGAAAATATAGCTCGTAATTTGACCGCGGCTCGCTTACGCAGCGATCACACAATGTTTTACGTCGTCTTATAAAATAAAGCTCACGTTGATATCTAAATATGATATGACATACATCACAAGAATAACTCATCGAGGAATTAAGAAGCACGAAGTACAAAAAAAATACATTGTAATTAATAACCGGTGTTCAATTCCATTATATAAAACATACCATCATCAAACTCGCTGCAGTAAATAACAAAGTTGCATTTGGCGACATTGATTGAGTGGAGGAGAGTGTTGCCAGTCTGGTTGGTGTTGATGAGTGGCGCGACCGCCCCGAGGCGCGCGACGCCCAACCACATGGCCGGCATCTCGGGGTAGTTGCCCGCCATCACAGCCACCGTGTCCCCACGCTTCACACCTTTACTTTTCAATGCTGCTGACACCCTCAAACTAAAGTCTTCAATCTAACACAACAAAACCGATACAAGAATTTTAAAACTTATTTTTAAGGAAAAAATAAACATTTTAAAATAAATATTGACCTGTTTAAAAGTCCACGTCTCGTCTTCGTAGAGAAAGCAAGCTTTATCAGGATGTCGCAACACCACGTTGTGGAATATTTCGGGCATGGAGAAATTCTTTTTCGAAAACGATCTCGTCAATGATAAGATTTTCAAATAGCAAAATAGGGCCCTGAAAAAAACAATACGTTAATTTGATTCTCTTCCGGAAAATAAACAAAATAATAAATAGGTAAATAAACTTACGAGAAATCTCTCTTTGCCGTCCTCAGCGCCACCCAAAGCCATCTCCAATAAAATAAAATAACATAAACAACAATAATTATAGCGAGGACTTGAAGACTTGTCTGCCAGCCTTGGAAAACCCAAGTTGTAGCGCACGCCGCTAACAAAACGCAGACAGCCACAACAAACACCATGACTTTACTCCACGGTACACTAGATGCTAAATATTCAATCCGACCTTTTTCGATGTCTCCGGATTGCTTGATCTGCACATAATACATAAAACATATTATCAAACAAGCCACGAACAAAATGTATACAATTACTGCTAACAATTGTTTTGGACACCTTCGTCAGTCCTGTAACCGTTTGATAAGATAACGTTCACGTTATGATACCGAATGCGCTCGCTCGTTGTGGTTTCTTTAATTTATAGATTAACATAAAAATCTTTGATAAAAATAAGGTTAAAGAATTAAACTCGAATTCTTACAAATAAATATAATATTATATTATACTATTTAATAAAAGTGTTCTTATGTATTTATGTGTTATTTTATGTGTTCCGTTAGTCCTACTTCAATGCTTTTCTTATAAGGAATGGATGGGAAGGGGAAGGAGATTCGATGGCGGAGGGGACTCATAGGAAGAGGAAATAATCTCTTTCTGGGCATATCCTCTTCGGTCGATTAAAGGTAGGCAACGAATCTGCAATTGCGGACGTCTGTGGACGTCGGTATTTTTGCCATTTTGGCGAATTCAAGTGGCGGCATTGCGTATTTATCTTTCAATTAACTGTTTAATCCGCCGCTTTTTTTTCATCCAAAACTTATTTTAATTTCTTACTTACTAAGTAAACTTGTTTGGTTACTGACGTAAATATATAAAAAATTATCAAATAACGAATAAACTTGTATAATTTTATTTTTAAATGTTACTATTTTTTATAATAATAAAAAATATTATATAAAAGTAGACATTTTTCATAGGACGAAAGTTTATCTGAGGAATCCATTAGGGAAGACACAATTTAATACGCTAGGTGAAACCAAAACTTTTTCATGTCATCCGTTCGACAAGGAATATTACAAAACAATTGCATAATTAAATGTAGGTTATGTAATACGCTCATACAAAAACTAGTGTAGAAAAAATTTTAAACATTTTTTTTTGTTTCAACATTGAATTGTGAAGTCATAACTACATACTAAACGTGTCAAAGATACGGTTGTTTTTAAAACATATGTCAATTGAATAGGCACTGGAACTAATTAGCTCTTTAGGAAGGATAAGTTGATACTTTTTGAAACAAACATTGAATAACCATTCTGTTTAAATCTGTTTATACATTACATTACGCCTCTCTAATAGAGTAAATGGATAAAAAGTGTTAATCAATCTTCCAGAACTATATTTCATTGGAATTAGATTTGTGATGGAAAGTGCATAGAAAGTTTCCTCTGCAATGCTTGTAAAGACATGCTATCTCAGTTATCTTTAAAGAGAATGAGAGGGATGGCTAAATATTTTTTACAGATGTTGCGACAGTGAAGACAATTATTGTGGCTCGTCCAGCTTTTAGCAAATCACTGTTGTAGAGCCAAAAAAAACTTATATACGTAGATTAGACGAATTGTCAATCTTTTTATATAGTCTCACAAATTACTATAAGATGCTACGTTACTCTTTGGGTTTTTCATCTATGTACTTTTAACCACAATGCGTTACTACATCATTAGTCGTCGTAATTTGTTACAAGTTTTTGTAGTAAACAAAAAGCATAATTTGTAATATTATAATAGTTTTGCATGTAAGTGCATAATATATTATATATGTGTCTACATATGCAGTAAAGAACAAAATATATTATTACTAAATGCTTTGCGATAACTTCAGACAGTTTATGTTGAACTGAGTTTTATTGGAGCATCGGTGGCTCAGTGGTCAAGCACTTGACTTGCAATATGCAAGTCCTGGGTTCGAATCCCGCCATGTAGCAATGTGTTTTTCGATTTCCGATTTACATTTGTACCTCGGTGTGGACGTATAGTCAGCTGATGATGATGATTTTTATTAGTATCATCTCTTATTGTGTAGAAAGGTGTATAATATTAATTTTAACGATTTTTGTTAGGTACTTAATTTATTAGATCAATCGTTAACATTTAGTCGATATGCCTGTATTGACTAAGTAGTCGACTCGCATCGACGATTCAACATTGTGTGTACGGAACGCACAACGCGAGACTCGCGACGCGACCCAAGTTACGAAGATTTACTTTGCCTTGAGTACGAAGGAGCTACAAATGTCAACAGATTGCGCTGCTATTCAATTGTATAATACTGAAATAAATGTGTTAAATTGTAAGATAACACGTGTAATCTAACCCTCAACGATAATTTCATAATACACTAAGGTTAATAGTTTTTCAGATGTTACATACTGATAGTATCAAATACCAAATTAAAAAAATATACTCGATTTTTTATCTCTAACTGAAATGGAAGTAGCAGATATTAGAACGTCGGTGGCTCAGGTTTTAAACACTGGACTTGCAATCTTCAGGCCCTGGGATCGAATCCCGCCTTGTACCATTGTGTTCTTTGATTTCCGATTTACATTTGTACACTTATCTGACGTTCTTACGGTGAAAGTAAACATTGTTATGCAACCTGCACATATCGAAGAAGAAATTCAAACATACATGTGAAGTCACCTAAACCGCACTGGACCAGCGTGGTTGACTATGACCTAGAAACCCCTAATTTAGGGTAGGCTCCAAGTCCCTGGGTGGAGATGTATAGGGAGCTGATGATGACGATGGATATTACAAATCTATTCAATGCATAACAATATTTGATACTTCCGAATAGTAATAAATTATATTTCAAAGATATTCATATAAGGTTAGATATATTTTCGTTCATTTATGAAACTCTGTCGCAACAGGACCGAGAACGGAATGTCACGTCCTCACAAGTTTTTGCGTTTCGTGTACTTTATCACAGTTAATGTATTTTAAAGGTCATTTTTAAAAGTTAACTATGTTTCCTCGTATACTATAGAACTCAGAGACAAATATTATTTTCTGTGTAAATCTTTTATTTGTTCCGGTTCAATAAAAATCGTCGAAATACTCCGAACTTCCTCAGGTCATACAAATATGTTTGTAATTTTACGAGAACGAATTTTAAAATGAGAATTTAAAAAAAAAATTCTTCTTAAAATTATAAAACTGGCTTTACAGATTATTGAAACCACTCATCAATTCTTGGTTAAAGTATTTAGCCATAGACACTAACCAACTTATACCATAGAGTCATAGAGAAGCCTAATGATACCAAACTACAATCTCCTTTTTTTTCCTTAGGTACAACGCAACTGATATCAATTTACTAACGCCGGCTAGACACCTTTATTTTTCACTACATAGTCCGACTGTTAAAACTGAAGTTGTCTAGCCGGTTTAACTAATTCTTTAACTATAATTATCTAAAAACACTTAATTTAATTCGGGTTTAGCATTTATATATTTTTTTTCCTATTAGGTTTGTCTAGGCGTAGTTGATAAAAAAACAATAATAAACTGACTACTTTAGATATGCGTTTCGTAGTAGTCAACACAAGATTCTCAAAATCTGGATGTCATGTAACTGGCTGTCGCATTCGACTCTGTCCGCGTGGTATTAAAAAAATAAGTAAGTAGCCTTTGTCTTCTTTGAGACTATGTTCTACATCTGTGTAAAATTTCAACGAGATCCGTTGACAGTTCTGGAGATACATTCGAATATCCATCCATCCATACAAACATTCGCATGTATAATATTAAGACAACCTCGTTTTAAACTATAAACTTTTTTTTTATTAGTTGGAACCAGTTTTGGAATAAGCAATAAATTAATATAAGTCGCTCCATTATAACTGGCTGAAAAAAATTACGCAGTTTTGAATCATTATAAAAATGAATCAAGTATTCGTAATTTTTCGCAATAAATCTTACTTCTTACTATAATAATTTTATAAATGCGAATGTTTAGATAGATATCCATCCATGACGTATGTATAATGTTTATTTGAAGGTATCTCCAGAACGGCTGAACGGATCTCGATAAAATTAGGCATTGATATAGAACATAGTCTGGAAGAACACATAGGCTACAAATTAAGTTTTTATTTAAGACCACGCGGGCGGAGTCGCGGGCGACGGCTAGTAGATTATAACGATAAAACTAATCTGCCATAATACAAAAAGATTTATACTTTGTACTTAATGCAATTAAAAATGATTAGTTGAGGAGTCAAAAGTCAAGACTTTTACCCTCAATCTCAATTAAATAACAGAATATTTACCTTATGGTCGTTTATATCTGTTTTATTCATATTGTTGTCGACGCCGCTCACATTTGACATGGCTGGAAGCAAACCGTTGTTATTCTTTCATTAAGAAAACTTTAGTTTTCCCTGAAGCACATTTTGATTCCAGAATGTACCTGAAAAAAAAACACTATAATTAATATTATATTAAATACTAGCTGTCACCGACGACCGTAGCCGATTCTAAAACCAAGTGTATATGCATATAAAACTTCATAAAAAACGGTCAAGCCGTTCCGGAGGTGTATGGTAACTAACATAGCAACACGCGAATTTGATATTTAAGATTTAACAGGTAAATATTTCTATAAAATATAATATTATTATTATTTACGTTTAACTAGTCAACCACGATATCAACGTCAAGTTTTAAGAAAAATCTGGTTTTGTTCCACGAGGATAAAGAATTGACGTATTTGTATGACGTAAATCTATGGTAAAGTAATAAAAATCAAATGCCTTATAATTACAAATTAACATAGTTTTTTGGACTTAAATATTAGAAAACAAGAAAACTAATTGGTGAAAGTGAGTTTAGTAAGATAATCCCGAACAATGAACTACATTAATGTCTTAGTTATTACGAAGGGGTCGAGTAAAGAACTCACGCAATGGCTCTTCAAAGGAAAGTAAAAGTCAACGACCTTTGTAATATACAGACATGGAAATTACAGCTTATACATTGCCGCGTAAAAGGTAGGTACTGAACAACCGAAGCGGACCTAATTTTTAAATGAATATGGGCATAGATTTAGTTAGGTTCAGCGAACCTTTTATCTTGATTTCCAAGACGATACCATAATTATCTTGTATATTACGTCGTTGTCTTTTCGAAGCAAATTGCATTCAATTTTTTTTCGTTTTAATATTTTTCAGTTCATGTCACACCTATCATTCGCGTTCCTTATCACCTCGATTGTAATTCCTTATGGTTTCCATGGAATGTACGAAATGAGTATGTCTTGAATAATTAATATCCCTTTGTGTCCGTCAATCTTAATCATCTTTTGTTTTCCAATAATAATAAATCTTTGTGATAAAATGCTTTGTCATTTCTAAAGAGTACACGTTTTCACTTTACACTTTGATCAGTGTGCGACTGGAATTTAAAATTACATGTACAACAAATACACTAAAATACTACATACTACGCTTGTAACAATGTATACAATAGCAAGGTCCAATTTTAAGTCTTTTGGAATACTAATTTTATAAGGATACGCATTGCTTTTTAATTAATGTGACTGCGTCATAAAATATTACTGTTATGTAACACGACTATTAATAAAAGTTAATTTGGGACTTGAATAATTGAATGAATATCATTTCTATAGCTTATCCGATAAGATAATTTTTTGCACAATAATCAAACTCTGATTACAGTTATTGTTGTAGGATATATGACGATCATCGTATGCCCAAATACACGTAAAAATACCCTTGTCGGAGGTAATCAGGGAAATGGCCTAAAACGGCTTTTCTTTGCTGTAGTAACGGAACCAAAACGTGAAACTTATCCTTGTAAAGATTAACCTGCAAGTTTGAAAATGATTCAATGAATAAATATGAATGATTAAGTATAATGCTAATGTTTGGATGGATGGATGGATGTGTATTAAATGGTATATCCAGAACGGCTCCATAAGCCTTGCTAAAGTTTACCATACCTGTAGAACATAGTCTGGAAGAACACTACTAATTATATTTTTTATTACGTTCAGACGACAGCTAAGCTATAAAAATAAGTAAATATTGAAAAAGTTTTAAAAATGATGGTAGCAGAAGCGCAAAATAAACGATCCATAACGAAGCGATGAACTGTAAACGTGCAAATATGACGCTTTCTTGTCTACAACGAAGCTGGCAGACAGTAATTGAGTGCAGAGAGAAAGTTACAAGATCTCCGCACCAGAGAAAGCTCTCTTACGAAATGTCTTTTATTATCGATCGTATACATTTGCACTTTGCAATTTTTATATAAGTATATTTTAAGACGTTGAGTATTAAATGACTGTGTAGAAATCTGAGATAAATAAAATACCATACTTGAAACCCAAAATATTTGTTCACTCGACAAAAAAAATTCTTTACTTTGCCGTTCATGTAGGAAGCGTCGTTAGTGTCAACTTAAGGTAAAATAAATATTAATATTCCAATCGGCATGTACAAATGAAAGATTAGTCACATTTGGCAAACTGTGCGCGCTTGGCATGCGTGTCGAGTCTTTTCTCGAGTCAAAGGCAATGGTCAACGAGTCCGTCAAGTACATGTTGTTATTTATGTGTCACGGTCGATGTTCCATACTATACAGACGATTGAACTTTGCTATTTGTGTATTTTATAAATAAAAGTTTAAAAAATATTTGCAAATTTTTAATAATTACCGGGGATAAATTATTTTACAAAAAAATCAGATAGACTTAAAATCTAGTGTGTAGAAAAACTATAAGGCAATTGCAATAGGTTAAGGAAAACAGGCGTTTGAATGAAAAATCCATTTTGATGATAAAATTATTCTAATGTCTCTTAGAAATATATTGACGTAAGCGAGTATCTACTAGTATAATACTTCGAACAGGTAAAAATAACTTCGAAAAAAAAATCTTATTTGGAATTCTAGGTCTGGCCGTACGGTTAACCAACGACATTTTTTCATTTAAAAAAACTTGCCTTTGCCTTTTTAGTCCCTAAATCGTATATCTCGACTTAATCAAATATACTCATCAGTTGTAGAATTAATGAGTCTTTGTCATGGTCCGTTAGCTGTCGATTTTTGGTCAGAGTCAAAGGACTCGGAGGTAACGCAACCGGTACATGAAGCGTGCAACTGAATAACTTAGGGCCCAATGACATGTCTCCTGACGACTCATTCGAGAACTCGTTAGACTTGAAACCTTCATTAATTTAGTCTTAACATTAGAGGATTCTTTAGTTTTTAATCTTTTCATCTCAACCTCAGAAGGGTTAACACAAATATATAAACTCACGCAAAGAGACTTAAACCGACTTCAAAAAGGAGGAGGTTCTCAATACGTCTGTATGTTTTTTTATATAACTATTTATCAAGCAGCTAAAACTCTTTTATTAACTGATACGGAATACCACAATGAATTAATTACAAAAAACCTCGACACTTCACAACATACGTACAAACAGTTCGATACAGTTTTTATGTATGCAAATTGGTCCACGCCTTAATTACGTTCTACTTGTATATATTTCCATTTTGACGCGGTCGTTGTCCTAAAGGGCCGAATTAATAAATAAAACCATTTTAGATATTATCTAAATTGTAACATAATTTATATTTACACTAGCTGTCGCCCGCGACTCTGTCCGCGTGGATATATAAAAAAACTTAATATATAGATAAGTTAAATAAAAAGCAGCTCTTCATGGCATTAATTCGAAAAAAAGATAAAATAGTATCCTATGTCCTTCTCCTAGCTCTTAGCTACCTCCTCATCAATTTTCAACCATATCGGTAAAGCCGTTCTTGAGTTATAAATAGTGTAACTAACACGACTTTATTTTATATATAGATTAACTATTAACCTGGAACTATGAAACATCTTACAAGAACTTTACATAATACCAAAGGATATATTATATTTCTCTAGTCATGGTTTGCAATTAATCGAAATGATGAAATACACTTTTACTTTTTTTACGGATATAGACAGATTCACACAAAGGCTGCTGCAAATTTCACTTTTCATCTTTACTTTCTATTCTCATATTTTTCTAGAAATAAATCTTTATATCAATTATGCAAATATAAAAATTCAATTAATAAAATTGGAGTGTATGTGTGTCAATAGAAAGAATTTCATATTTAGCACAATGTAAAATCTGAAGTCGTTCGAAATTAAATTTAAACTTTCTTATATGCGAGGAATAAGAAATGTTTTTTTTTGTATTTATTTTGGCATATTTAATATGTATAAATTACTCTATAATAATCATTAGCTATGTATCAGTGCGTTTCTTCTATTTTTTAAATCAAAACCTAACCTAAAGAACAAAAATAAAGAAACATAATTCGCCATGGAATTAACACTTTTTATATATCCTAATTTTTAATATATTGCTAAACTTTTACCTGAGAGGTGTAATTAGTAACTTGACGGACTTCTATAAAGTCGTTGAAGCCTAACATCGACTTATTTTCTTACTTCACACTGCAAGTTGCAATATTGTTAAATGCTTTTATCTCACGGACGTGGATTAGACTTGTGATTATAATTCTTAAGAAATGTTTTGACGTTTATAAAAATGTTTAATAATATTTATAACGATTGTTTTCAGTTTCCGTCACAATAATCATCGTTAGATTACGATCATAGCTTACTTAGGTAACAATACAAGCTTAGTTAAGAAAAGTAGATGACCGAGTACGAGTGTACTTAGTTATGACTTTAGACGCGAAGTCAATTACTATTTATGCGACAAAAAAAAAAATTAGAACAGTATTACACTTAACCTAAAATTAACCTTTACTCTATTCTTATAATACAAGCATATCACACTAATGGTGTAGAGTTCACGCAATGTTAATCTTTGTAGGTCAAAGATCGATCAGCTAATCTCAGTCACAACATTTCTTTACGACTCTTAGTCACAACTACTGAGTATTGTAAACTTAAGATGTAGGCCGCGAACCAGATTACTTTTGATTCTTTCAATATACTTATATTTTTATTTTATTATCGTTTGCTCAACCAAACTCAAACACAAAGTATCTGAAATCGATTGCATCGGAAATACCGAATATAAGAATTATTTACGATAATATGTCAATTTATTTAACCGTCTACGTATCGATGCAATAAGAACATTATCATATTACTCTATCAAAAGCCCGGAAATATATAAATAACGTCCGAAACTTTGCAATATAATGATGTAAAGTCAAAGTTCAAGATGAGTATAATCTGCTTAAAGTTAAACTTTAGTCTAAAATTAAACTAATATCACGTTTTGAGTGAAATTAGTCATTAATATGAATTTCATGAACTGAATAGGAGCTTAAGTGCCACTATTCCACGATTTTTTTTTTTAAATTAAGAACATCGATTAAATACCACCAAACATTTTCTGAATAATTATATTATTTATTAATTACGTAACAAATTCTTGTAATTTAGGAGAACCAGTAAATCAATAAAATATATACGGCACTTACTAAAATTATTAAGCGCGATTTATTATATGAACACATCGTATTATTTATATAAACATTGGAAGCAAATATCTGAGTTCGAATTGATTATATTTGAAGACGACAAATTAATGTTATGCAAAAATGTTTAAACTAACATTCTAAAAATACGCAAATTTAATAATACGCTACACCAACGATATTAATGCATAATTTTTTTCCATGGGTTTTGTAAAATTAAAAATTAATATGAAAATCATTTAAGAAACAAAAAATTTATAAACTTGTTAAAATACTAAACTGATATATAAACACGGCTAAACACTCACGTATATACGTCCGGTGGCGGCACCGACTAGTCCGAGCCCATTGGGGGCCCTTCATCATGATGAGTGGTACTGGTATTATTTCGCGGACGCGGCCCGGTACGTGAATGTTTAGCCGTGTTTATATATCAGTTTAGTATAATGTCTCACGAAAGTTTGAATAATTTGTTAAAATACATTCAGATATACAAAACTTGTTTAATTTTAGGTGAAACTTTTATCAAAAAACACTATATATTTATATCTATATCTAAAATATAGATTATTTAATTCACTTATATTTATTCTGAATATACTAAAAAACTAAAGCTAATTTTATAAGGACTTACAACAATCGAATACTATTCTCTCCACGAAAAACAGGCACAATATTTTTATCTGCCTACTAACTGTCGCCCGCGTCATCGACCGCGGAAAAAAAATGTTCTACATCTATGCCAAATTTCATCGAGATCCGTTCTGGAAATGCCTTCAAACATACATCCATCTATCCAAACATACGTATTTATAATATTAGTAAGGTTTACACGAGCTATACAAATATGTATCAAATGTTTATTTACATATAAAATGAATATTATCCCTTTATACATCATAGATAATGAATTCATGATATTGAATGGCGGCTGTTGCAAAGGCTGGCATTGCGACACCGTTATGGGCTGAGGTAATGAGGGGCTCATCATGCTATAATGACTCTAGTACTATTGTATTAACTATTGTAAAAAGATACGACGACCTTGGGCGTAATGTCATATGTATACGTACGTATATTAAAGTATTATTACCATTGTACTGTATGGAGTAATTCCTTGTTTAAAAATCGATTAACATTTCGAACGTAATTAAGTCTAATCACAAATTAAATGTTTTGAGCAATGATTCTGTCAGATTAATACTAAAATAGGAAACTAATATACACTATCGATTCTTCCGTAAATATAGATAAAACTTTATTATCTATATACATAATGGTACATAAATATAAAATTGATAATTCATCTCTATCGATCTTAACAAAATTATTAATGACACGTATTTTACGTCGACGATTCCAGTCAGTAAATTGATAATAACGAAGCAAGAAATGAGATTTGCTTCTACAATTTTAATGTTTAAATCACGACAGTTGTGAAGATGTTTGGATTGCAGTTTCACGGTTACATGTTTACAAACTACGGTACCGAATGAGTTATGTAGGACATTCATTTCAATAATATGAAGAACCGTACAAGTACTCAAAAGAGTTGCTTAGTTTTTGAGGTTATTTTATTACGGTACGGAAGTCATTAAGAAAACAGTTTTATTAATGAAATCTTTTCTTTTATATAATAAGGTGGTAAAGGAGCGAACCACCTGAAATCGCTGAAAAAGCGAAGTGACCGTTGCCCATAGACATACGCAATTGCTTATGCTTTGCCTACCTTTCATCGACGGAGGAGAGGATGCCAGAAAGACAATATTTTCCCTTTCCATGCATCCTCTTATCCGGAAAGTCCACTTCCATTTCCCATCGTTTCCTCATAAGAAAAACGGTGGGAAGAGAAAGAGTACTTAAAATTAGGCCTTCGGGACGCACACTCATCAGCCGAAACGCGGAATCGCTTCCACTTCACGCCTGTCTTCCTAAAGTATCAAATATTAGTGGACTGTCAAAGCCATGGTTACTTTTTAACAATTAAAAAGTAACCATTTTAACTTTGTATTTTATGCACAATCTCTAGAATCACGAATTATAAACGTCCTTCGCACGATTTATGATCTTTGTTACTTAACTACTATTGGCATACAATATGTGCAATAATAAATACAAAGTATTTCTAATTTCTATGGACAAAGTCTATTTTCAATGTCTTTACAATTTATTTCTATAAGTCAAACACGTAGTTAGGATGTTAGCGAGGAAATGTTGCTTAGCTTATGCTCAGTAATGTAATTAAAAACTTAATAACTTTCCGTGTGTCCCCCTCCGTCGAAAGGTAGGTATAGCATCCGCAATTCTTAGTCTATGGGCAGTGGCTGCTTTGCTATTTCAGCAAGTCATGGAATCGCTTTGCCCGTTTGCCTCATAATATAAAAATAAAAATCCGGCTTTGATACCTTTCCGCGTTACTGAGAAAAAGAGTCTTGACAGACAGACGGACGGACAACAAAGTGATCCTATAAGGGTTCCGTTTTTTTCCTTTGAGGTACGGAGCCCTAAAAATAACAAATTGTTTATTTAATTCTTAATTTGTAATTTGGAGCCCTAAATCATCGACATCGCATCATCGACGTGAAATTAAGCAGGCACCACTCCGACTGCTTGTAGCTTGCTTATACTGTCTCCAACTGTCCATGTATGGCAGCCCTTGTAAGTAAATTATACATCCATGACAAAATGTTGTAACCAAAGGTTTTGAAATTCAATGTAGCAAACTGTAACTCCAAGATAAATTACTACTTTGCAGACTTTGATTGCTTGAAACAACGAAAGTATTTTAGCTTGAATGCAGAAATAGTCAATGGATTAAATTTACCAACAATCAATTTAAAAAAAATTATAATATTTGTATAGAAGTATCAAGTTAAGGCAAAAATATGTGCGTAAAAATTTATTAATACGTATTAATATGAATATTATTTAGCTACTTATGTATAGAAGGTCATTATAGAGGTAGAGTCGTTCTCCTCGAAATCAGAAGGGCGCCAATAAATTTCCGCAAGCCTTACTTTTTCTGGGCGCAATGAACTTTACTATACATTTAATAGTAAGTTTTTCCTTAAGTTCCCTTATAACAGTTAAATGCCAAGAACACGTTAAAATTCCAATTTTATGCAAACATTTTCGTAGTTATATCGTATTAAATAATTCGATATTATCAATTTAAAAGCATCCAACGTAAAATACTCGAATTCAGAATTGTCGTATAAAAAAATATAATTAGAGAAACAAACCTAAATAATTTCATATTTGGATGAATAAAAATCTATTTTAACCTTCAGGATTAAAAACGGATTGATAGTTATAACTTTTAAAAACAAAGGAAGACATGCTATCATATAATCCTGCATGGATAACATCTGAGGTAAACAAAACTTTATTTTTTTAAACAAGTCATATAAACTCGTTACAATAAAATATATAATTATGTAAGCAGTTTGTTTTTGATAAATGGATAATTAATACTTTCAGGGGCATTTGTGATTAATTTGATAATACTTTATCCAATTTTATCGTAAAACAAAATAATTACGTATCAATTTATTTACCTCATAATCAGTTAATTATTTCCTAACTAAGGAAGGAGTATTCTTAGGAACAATTGCATTTAACAAACAATTCGCTTCCCGATTCTTTAATTCAACAATAATCTACACAGTTAATAAAATCGGTGTGTCTGTGATGTATTTAAGACATATTTCGTGCATATGATTATTTGCGATACTTATAACACAGCAAAATACCAATTTTTATTTTTTTCTCTTTATCTACATTTATACGTTTGTTCTAGGAAATATCCGAAACGGTTGGACTAATTTTGACAGGACTTTTTAATAGAAAGTAACTTATGTATGCGGGAGTAACATATTCTACATGAGTCGCAAACAAAAGTTAAATAAAAATTGAACATTCCAATATTTAGAATATGTATTGTAAAACTTGACTACAGTAAACATAATAACAATCAATGCCCTTTGTAGAGTACGAAAAACACGGAAACTACTTTTAAGCTTCCTTAAAAATAAACCGATTGTAAATATCATAATACTTGCGACATTCTTTTCTTCATTGTTCTCTTATTTCAGTAAAATATTTGCCAATTTTGTTATACAACTTGAACTCTATTTTTGTACACTTAATGCCAATATTTAAGTTACAATAGCCGATATGGTTGGTGTTTTAAGTTTGTAGTTGAATAATTACCATACAAACTTCATAAACATTATATGTATCAAGGGATTTCCCAGCCCATGATCAAGAGGAAGGGTTAGTTAGTAAAAAATATTTTTTTTCATTCCAATTATTATGCTAGAGAACGTGATTTATTCCAAGCTTCTAAGGAAATAAGACTTTTTTGATTTATCTATGCGGGATTGTAGGCGCCAAAGCAACGCCCTTCATAATAGTGGTGTAGGTGTAAAATGTACATATTTGGAAATAAAATTACTCTGTAATTCCCTACGCCGGAGAATGTCACATTAAACTTTACTTTTTAAAATTACTATATTTTAATTAATCTAGATTAAGTGCGGATACACCGATAAAGTTTATTAAACTGAAACGATAAGGATTTTACAGAATTTTTAATTAACTAGCTTTTTTTCATTTACATGCACCAAATGCATTTATTTTTTTTACGTAGGTAGAATTTTTTTTTACACATTGCAAGTAAAATCTACTTTAATTAAAAAGTTGTAAATTTAATAAAAGATTCACTAATAATATCAAAAAATATTTAATAATAAAATTACACTTACCAATTATTCTGAATCCGATTATGATCGTCTTCGTTTGCTTCTTTGTGCGGCAGGAAAAGTTGCGACAATTTTTTGTGTGTAAATTCGTAATCGAGAACGCACTGGGACCGACGGCGACGACGTACGGTGTTGTAGTGAGGTGGTGAACGGATACAGCGCGACCGATACCCCACCGGCAGCCGCTTGGTGATTGTAATTGATAATCTCGCCGTGGGAGCCGCAAACAAAACATCTGCAAATGTGCCGACACGCAGAAAAACAATCCCCATACGTCTACAATCAACTAGAAAGCACATTAAGACGTGCCAATGACTATCTCACATTTCTAACCATTCTCACAATAATTCCGCAATTTCTCCAATTCATTTGTCTTATTCTGTTATTCTATTAATTATAATTTACATAAAGTTAAGTATAATTAAAATGAATAAAATCAAGTAAACACTTTTTCGTGTCAGAGCATAGGATTTTACAGCACAGCTGTTGGGAACAACGCTAATTATATAATTAAAACCTAATAATTAACATACAAAATACGACCCTACAGGTCACGATCAAGGTTTGAAAAAAAAATGATAGAAAGTTATATAATTTACATCATCAAAAGCTGTCTTCAACCAGTATGATTTATCTAATAACTATTTTTAAACCAGAAAACTGATTACGTTTAATTACTAATTTAAACAAGTGAATATTATTTATACAAAAACATACCAGACTCTTATTGAACTATAATATAAGTGAAGAGTTCTGTAGAACCATCTCTGTATTGTAATACAGTATTCCTCTAAAAGGGAATGGTCAGTGATAATTCGAACATCGAAAAACATATTAACATATATGGCGTGGTTTTAAGCCGGATCTCAAGATTCGGAAATCCGGTGCCTAATCATTGTGCCACGTTCATTTACTACTAGTCAATGAAAAGTAATTGAGAAGATTTTTATCACACCCACTTGCGAGTAATATTTCGATGTGCTTTGTGTTGATTTGCTCTTTGCAGATGGTCCGCTGGAATTTGCTATACGGACACTTACCAACTTCTCCTTTACAGTCACTATCAGTTACAATTTATGTAATCCTACCTTTTAACTGCGTATCGACTTCTTTTTCGACAGAATATTGATATGCACTGATCTATAATAATTTTGAACCGGAATAAGGAGGCGGCCCTCAGATCGTCTTTATTTATTAGAAGGTTGTTTTTTCCTTTAATCATGCAAAAACAAAATCTTAGACTTATCGTCTACCCTCACATCATTATTTTTTTCACTTTTAATTTCGTCAAGCTTAATTTTTATCTATGGTTTGTCAATTTGTAATCTGCGGCAATACAATTTTGTTGTAAAAATGTCAATGTCAAATGAAAAGTAAAAATTCCCATCGGCTTGGCTCATTTCTAGGCTAATTTAGTATTTATTAATGCTTGAATGACACAAATAAAAGTGCCGGCTAGCTGAGTCAGAATCTACAAAGTAGTATTGAGATTTTATCTTTTCTTTAGCAAACTAAGCCTAACAATGTCTCATTTTAAATTAATATCATCAACTAAAGCTTCAGACGTCATACCAGTAAACAAGTACGTGTCTGAAAAGACCGGCTTAAAAGTAATTATTGCAGATGTTGAAGGGCCTGTTGTTAATGGCTATTTCTGTCTTGGTAAGTCTATATACATCATAATTTACGACAACAAGCACCAATTAATGTTACATTAAACCTGTTTTTTTTAGCTACTGAAGCTCATGATGACGACGGTCTACCGCATACGTTAGAACACTTGATATTTTTGGGATCAGAACGTTACCCTTACAAAGGCATTCTTGATTTGTTAGCCAATCGGTGCATGGCTCATGGTACTAATGCTTGGACTGATACTGATCATACATGTTACACTATTTACACTGCTGGAGAGGAGGGGATGTTGACTTTGCTGCCGATTTACCTTGATCACATTCTTAGACCTACCCTTACTGAGGAAGGGTTTACAACGGAAGTGCATCACATTGATGGTGATGGAGAAGATGCTGGGGTTGTCTATTGTGAAATGCAAGGTCGGGAGAACTCAGCAGACAGCAGGTTAGTTTTCATTTTGTAGATAACAACAATAAAGTGTTCTATGATAATATGAATATGACTTAGATGACTTTACCTACAATGAATGTATTCTTTAGAGTATGTTCATAAAGTAAAGCATGTGAACTTGAATGTAAAACAATTAAATTTCATGTTGTCTGTTGCTAGATGTGAGCTGCAATTATTGCGTGCCATGTACCCTGACAGTGGATACTCTTCAGAAACTGGGGGTATTATGAAAAATCTAAGAACATCAACTAACAATACAAAAGTAAGCTACACATAATATACAACACTTTTTCCAATTAACAGCCTACAGCCAGTGGAAATGGTCTGGCACACATAGCCATGTGGAAATGATGTTTAACAAACTTTAACTGCCATCATTTTATACAATAACTTTTGTAATTTATTTCAATATGTATTATAAATTTTAAATATGTTAAAACATTACAGGTTAGAAACTTCCATAAAAAGTTTTATAGACCTGAAAATCTCACAATAATTCTCACTGGACAAATAGCAGCAGAAGATGTGTTCAATGCATTATCTATTGTAGAAGATGACATCATAGCTAAGGTAGGCAATTTTAAATTAAAACTGTTAAGCCATACATTTTCATTGAGTAGATAAAACAGGCTAGAATTACTTAAATACAATTTTCATTGAGAAATCTATTGTCTTATATTGTTGGCAGAGGGAAAAGGAACCACAAGAGGAATGGGTGAAGCCGTGGCAGACTATCCCTCCACCACCACATTATGGGGAGTACACTGTGCAGTGGCCAGCAGATACTGAAGATTGTGGTCAGGTAAGGAATATTATTATATATTTCCTAGATGGATTCTAATGAGAAAGTAGCGCTTTAAATTTAGTTAAAATGGCTGCTCAATAACATCTGCTATAGACAAAGACATAGTAAATTCAATTTTAGTGTTTACCTAAAGAAATATTGTGATTGGATCTTTTTTTATATTATAAGCTGGGAAATAAGTAAGCGGCAATGTGAATTTCCAAAATGCCAACTATGCCTACCTTTATCATCGGAGGAGGAAGACTCACAGAAAGGATGATTAAATGCTTGGCTCTACATAATTTTTCCAATGTTATCAAAGGTGATGTTCGGCTGGCGAGGGCCGCTGTTAACGGAGGCGAGTGCTATGAGAGAGTTGACGGCGTGCGCGGTGCTGCTGCGTTACCTGTGCGACACTGCCGCCGCGCCATTGCAGCGCTGCCTTGTCGAGAGAGAAGATGCATTAGCGGGAGATGTAAGTTATACTTTTTATTATTCATTCAACAAACATCCATACAAACTTTCGCATTTATAATATAAATAAGATTATATTTAATGCATAACCATTTTAATACAAACGATAGTTAATTAAGTCAGATCAAACGTAAAGTAAAAAAGTTGATTTCTTTAACAGTCCCAATTTAGTTATGTAATTAATATCTTCAGGTATCATACAACTTAACGGAAAATCTAGTGCCACTTATCAAGATAGAACTGGATAATGTGCCGATAAAGAAACTGCAGCTGGCTCGTGACGATGCCCGCAAGTGTTTGTCCAGAGTATGTTCTGGTGATGAGGCCATTGACATGGAGCGGATGAGGAGGCTGCTCAAAAAACAACTGCGGGAGAGTATCGCCAGCCTTGAGTCTGATCCACACCATGCTGTAGCATTCAGATGTATCGGAGATGCATTATACTCACAGAACGAACAAGACGTAAGTCTGATACAATTACTATAGTCATTTTAGTTAGCTTTCATTGCAACCTGTAAAAAAATAATAATAGAAATTTCTGGTCTATATATTGTCATATTTCATTTGCATACTGGCTGTCGCCAGCGACACCGTCTGCGCGTAATTAAAAAAAAATAATTAGTATCTATGTGTTCTGCCAGACTATATGTATGCCAAATTTCATTGAGATTCTTTCAGCCATTTTGAAGATACCTACAAACATCCATCCATCCATCTAAACTTTTGCATTTATAATAACACTAAGATTTTCATTAATGGATTAAAATATTTATTATAACAAAATATTCTTGGTGAACATCTCTGTTAACAGTTTATATCAAGAATGAACCCTCAACAAATATTAATGGAACTATTAGAGGAATCCTCGTACTACTGGATTGGTCTACTTAAGAAATACTTCAATGAAGAACTGGTTACAATAGTTGGCTCGCCTAGCATTGAACTACAGAACAAGTTAGTATAAAAATCAATTTTATTACATTGATTATTTTTTTAAATATTGTACATTTTATTGAGGAATTATACAAAAATATTATTATTTTAACAAATGTTTAAAGAATGTCAGAAGAAGAAGCTAAGAGAATAGAAGAACAGCAAAAGAAACTGGGGGAGAATGGCTTAGCAAAGAAAGTGGAGCAACTGGCCGCTGCTATGGAATACAATGAGGTGAGCGAATTATGACCAATTTAAATTATTTTATATTAAATATTAAAGTGGACACATAAAAACAAAAAGCTGTCCTAAATATCATTAATCGTACCACATTTTGGTATATAAAAAGTAATAAGTAATAGTCGATTATGTATTACTCTATTTACTAACTAAACTTATAATTAGGTAAACCATATTATATTGGGGAAAAAATTATCTTAGGACATATCAACAGTAGTGAATTCCTAAAATTTTTCTGTATTGTGTTATGATACAATCTCTTAGAATATTTATGTTTTCTAGCGTCCGCCGCCAGAAGGCCTGCTGGCGTCAATCCCGGTACCCTCGTGTGACAACCTGAAGTGCCACAACATCACAACATGGAGCACGGACGGCGAGCCCTGCCCCTACTTTGACCTTAAGGAGATCCCACTCTACACGCGTGTACACAGTCTTAACACTAATTTTGTTTATGTAAGTTTTACTCATAATATGCAATTATTAAAAAAAAACTCATGGTGGGTTTCTGAGACCAAGTCTTACTATAAAAAAGATTCTTATTATTGTTTTGGCAAAGATATTGAGTGGGATGTTATTTTTTGTACAGATTGTGGTCTCAAAAACCAACTGCGAGTTTCGCTAGTAATTTTAGTTATTGTCGTATTTTTTTTCATACACCTTAGTTAACAATTAAAGAGTCTGAGTGCGATTGTAAGTGTTGTATAATGATTTCCAGATAAACATAATCCTAGACACGACAAACGTTGAGGAGAGCACACGCAAATGGCTGCCGTTGCTGGTGAACGGTCTGGCGGAGTGCGCGGTGCGGCGCGGGGAGACGCTGGTGCCGCACGAGGAGGTCATCTCCACCACTGAACACCTCACTGTACTGTTCAGCAATAACATCGGCTTCGACCGCCCCGGCAACTTCTCTGTCGGACAGTTTGGCAACTTCGTGCACATTGAAGCCAGGGTATGGAATGTTTTGATAGCGAAGGAAAACGTATTAGATGATCAGATATTGCTTTTAAAAAGAATGGAATAAATAAAATAGTGACAAGAATGCAGCAAAAAAGTCAAGAGAATATATAGATAATAGGAATTTGTTTTAGAATTTTTGTCCGTCAGGATCTTTGTGACTTCGTTTTCGCAGATCATCAAACGACAGTTTCTGGGACTAAGATATGATCAGTGAACCATAAAAAATTGGATCAGTTTAGCGTGAGCAATGTCTATGCAAATTGCGAACAAAGGTTCAGCTGACAGTATCAAATAGTCTTGTACATTTTCTTTGTTGCTTAAATTCTTAAATGTGGCAATAATTGTTTATATACAGTGCGAGCCGGCCGACTACGTGTCTGTGGTGCATCACCTACATGAGGTGCTGTACGCCCCCGAGCTCACCAAGGACCGCCTGCTCGTCTTCGCTCAGAGGATGATCAACGACGTCGCACAGGTACGTAATTATAACTTAACTACAGGCCGACTAAACTCGCAAATTGCACACAAAAGACATACCTCAAGTAGAACAGAAATAAACACACGTCTTTTTTGTTCGTGACACGATCAGGTGCGTCGCAGCGGCAACAAGATGGTATACGACATGCTGCGTGACGCCCTCTACCGCCCTGACAGCAACGTGCACTGGTGTTCCGTGCTGCGCCAGCACCAGTTCCTCAAGGAGGTGGTGGAACGGCTGGGGGGAGGAGGTGCGGAGGGCGTGCTCGAGGACGCCAAGCGCGCCCTGGCGGCGCTCGTGCGTGACGCCTGGTTGCACCTCGCCGCAGACTTCGATAGATACAAGCTCAGCACCGAGCCCTGGAAGCGATTCGCTAGAGAAAACGAAATAACGCCCCTCAAGTGTGTATCATGTCATTTTTAATCAAATTGAAATGATCATTCGATAAATAATCACCACAGTAGTCAATTGAGCTGTTGTTGCATCTTTTTTTTATTTTGACTTGGCCTTTTTTATTTAGTCTTATTGTTTTCTTTAATAAATATTATTTGTTAATAATTTCATGATTTATGTAGGCCGAGGTTGTACTGGGACGCGGAGCTGATGAGGGGCGGTGCTGGGGGCGGAGGCTTCGTGGTGGGCGTGGGCGGTATTGAGTCCTCGTTCGTGGCGCAGATGAGCCCCGGCCCGCTGGGGCACGCGCCGCAAGACCTCGCCCCGCTGCTCGTAGCCCTCAACTACTTTACCCAGCTGGAGGTAAGCATACAGGCCAACTTGGATAACCGAGAATCCTCTATGAGCGAAAAAATATCGCAATCTTTTCAACTCTCGCTTATCCTGGTTAGACTGTACTTTTAATTTTTTTATACTTCTTTACATTATACAATAAGTCCATTGCACAACCAAAGCTGTATTCTGGTTATAGTAACTACTTATTTTAAGGAACTCTTGTAAAATACGACAATTAGGCTGCCAGTCCACCAGAGCGGAGCGAGGCAGCGGAGCCGAGAAACGGAGAAATATTAACCAATAGGATTGCACAAAATCTCCGCTCCTCTTAAGTGGACAGGGACTTGCGAGCTAGTTTAAAATTTCATATAAAACCGGTAAGCGGAGCGGGGAAACGGAGCGGGGAAACGTGCGGGGATGCGGAGCGGGGAAGCGAGTGCGGGCGCGGGCGCACTTTGCGCCGGCAGTGTGCCGCCGTATTCCGACCAGTGCGTATGTGACCGAAGATAATGGATGAAAAACTTATTGAAAGTGTGAAAAAGTTTCCGTGCATTTGGAACACATCTTCAGAATTTGAAAACACAGCAACTCCGCTCCGCATTACTTCCTCACTCCGCTCCGCAGCCTCGCTCCGCTCCGGTGGACAGTCACAGTACGCAACTCCACTCCGCATTAGTCCGTTTCTCGGCTCCGCTGCCTCGCTCCGCTCTGGTGGACTGGCAGCCTTAAGCTGGAATAAGTATATAAACCCAATGGTTGTGTTAAGACACTGTAAATTGTATATTACATTTTTTTATATCGAAATGTTGTTTAATACGTATATTATATTTGGTAAGGGTCCGATGTGGCGTCTGATCCGAGGCGGAGGGCTGTCGTACGGGTACAGCGCGCGCGCGGCTCCGGCTGAGGGCCGCCTCGTGTTCTCACTGTACCGCGCCGCCAACGCGCCCGCCGCATACACCAAAGCCAAGAACATTGTGGTATGCACACATTTCTTCTACACATCACTAAAAATCGTTTCGTTAAGACACGTTCTTCGGGCGTGATTATTATACCCAGAGAAGACATTACGTATTGAGGCTCATATATAGTGCAAAACGATGAAACATGATAAAAATGTTGCTACAGTTCTAGACAACGAGGGTATGAAAAAAATTTTATTTTTTAAATTGCTGGAATAACGTATAACATTGACAGAAGACAGCACGCGCGATGCTAGCGCCACCGACTTACTATAACTTTTAGTCATTCTTCCCACTAAATATTCAATGTTCCAATAGGAGGAATACCTGAAGGAGAAAAAATTCGATGCGGAGTTGTTCGCGTCGGCGCGCAGCACCGCGCTGTTTGAAGCTGTGGAGCAGGAGAAGTGTCCCGCGGACGTGGTGCGACACTCGCTGCTCAACTACCTGCGCCGCGTCTCTCCCACCTACAACAGGTCTCTGATGCACCCTTACTTCGTTTAACACGTTTAGTACCGAGCATCGATCTTACTATATTACTTCAGTAGCAGTTACGTTACGTGTTAAATATCTATGAACCGGTGGATGTAAGGCAAACTAAATTGTGACACCTCACTAACGCCCTCTTGTCAACGTCAAAAAATGTCAAGAGTAATGAACGTATTGATTTTTTTTCATAGAGGTAATTGAGCATTAGAAAATCATTCTTTATAGTTTTTAATATCTCTAAATTTATTATCGTAACAAAACTGTAAATATCGTATGTCAGGGAGCTGGTGCGTGCGATCGCGGCGGTGGACGAGAGTAGCGCTGGTGCGGCGGCGGCGCGCTGGCTGCCCGCGCTGTTCGACCCCGCGGCCGGTACACTGGCGCTGGTCTGCCACCCCACCAAGGTCTCCGACCTGCAGGCTGCATTCCAAAAGTAACACATATTTTTTATTAACTTATAACAATAGGATTCATTTAATTACTACGCAAATACAAAGGTCCGTCTAACATACTATGAAATCTTACTTTAATAAAGTAATGTAGACAGTTCTTGATTTACAATAATGTGAAATATAAATTTATCTTTCCAGGATCAATATAAATTTGGATGCATTCGAGTCAATGGAGGCGTCGCATTTTAACAAATAAGCGCAACAAAGTGTACTTTTGTTATTTGTAAAATAAAGTGAATAATTAAATATTGTAATTCAAGAAATAATACAAAATAACGTAAATGAAACCACAAATACTGCTTGCTTGTGCCTTATACAAATGAAAGTGTTGGTTTGATTTGTAAGGATCACAGTTTTTATATACATTTAAATTTAAATATTATATATTGTTTGCATATAATTTTATAAATAAAACGATATAGTTATTGTGATGATTTATTTATCACCCTCCATCTTAAAGCCTTAATGTATGTCTATACAAAAAATATAACTTAAATTTAGTCAGATATTTTAGTAAACATTTATTATAAATCATCTCACAACCGCTGCAACATCTTTTTTTTTGTAAAATTCAAACCCATCCATAGAATAATATCAAGACATCAACATTATTTGCATTTGAACCCGAAACTTCAACAATTGATTACACAATACATTTAAAGGCTCTGCCGTCAATATTACATATTTTTGTCGAGTTTGTAAAATATCTACTTGAGCGCTTAACTAAGTTTTTGCCTCAAATAATTATTTGCAGATTTTTTTACTTACTGTTAACTACTCGTAACAATATTGATATTATTATTTACTCCATTTATATAAATATGAATGATTTCTGCTATTACATTTTGTTGCATTACATTTTCATTTAGCTTAAAAAAATAAACTGGCCTACATTTTTATAACTAACGAGTAGGCCATTCTATTGTTCGTTAAAACTTCTAACTTGATGACGTCATTTGAAATATATTACTTTACATAAAGCGTTACTTATTGTAATTAAAAATTGTACATGCAATGTCATATTTACATTTCCATCTTGTACAGCAACGGACTCATAGACAATGATTATATTTCCGTATAACAAAAATACATAATACCTATATGATAATGCATCTCAAAAGCACCAAAATAGTACATAACAAATGTAAAAGTATGTAAAAATGTTCACGATCTTATTAAACAAATTATCAAACAAGTAAACAAACAAGCTACGTTGTAAACTAATCGAATACATTCTAAAACCGTATAAAGGTGCTTTGAAGATGTGATTTGGTAAATGTTAAAATTATCTAAGCCTAACAACTTACGACACCAAAGTGACGAAATACAATTTCCTAATAGAAGAACGACTAATTGGATTAATAACATTACAACTATGTAATAATAAGAAGAGGCGGCCCCGGTTCCGTTACGATCGCTTGCGCTTCCAACTTGTCACCTCATTGCTTTCTCATTTCCTTATAATATCTGTCCCAGTTACTTTATAAAACAACTTCTACAGAATGGATCTAAAAGACAACACCTTTACTAAGATAATTTTAAAATAAATCGTGTCATTGTATTAGTAATTTTACCAATGATTTAAACCGTCCCATGCCACCGACTGGACATGCGAGTTAACTTTAGTATGTCAAAATAGTGGCATTGAACGATGTTATAATTATTTTGGATAATATGCAAATCATAGTAAATAAAGCTGTTTAAATGTTTGTTAACATCAGGGGCTGATGTGACGGAATGTTAAACGAAATTATTTCCTTTATCAAATACATGAAATACAAGAGTGCTATTAGTATAGAAAAACCGACGCCACAATTTCATCCGATTAAATGATTTCTATTATAAAATTTCTATACTGTTTACATTTTAAAATATTTCTTATTTTAAAAAGGCATATCTTTTGCAGGTACAATTGCGACTTTTGATCATATAACTTTACTTGCCTGTTTTTAATTAACACAAAAATGGTTAATTATGAATTAACTGTCACATAAAATACACCATGGTAAATGACGTCACAAAAAATGAATTTCCAATAAAAGAAATATAAATACCATCAGGTAACATGGGAACGAACATTCCTCAGGCTCAAATCTCAACTTAAATAAATATATTCTTGGTGTATTTTACATAACTACATTATATATTAAAACTGGCATAAACAACGTGTATCTTATAACTATGTATGTATTTTCTCCATACATTTAACAGAAGACGCGCCCGCCGACATGCTCACGCGAAGTTTCCAACATTTTCACAATCTTCAACATTACAATACCACGTAATGTGATATAAGATATGTAATTGCATTAGTAAAATAATTAGCTTTGTCTGATCGAAAAATATAATTAATTTTCGAACATAATGAAATATTAAACATAAGTATTAAATGTAGCAAATCAACATCAATTCCTTTCAATATACGCCTAGAAATATGTTCTAGTGACCAAATATTAAGTATTATCGCTAAGCAATGTTAGGAAGTTGTTTTCTTACGGCAATAAATGCATCGTTTTCGATCGCGTTGAGACATCGTTAGAAATTTTGCTTGCTAATTGCTTAGATCCCACGCATGGATAGCTCACGCAATGATCTGGCGCTGCGTTTCCGACACGTGGGCGTGAGTTGTGGTGGGCGGGTCAGAATGCGCGCGTGGGCGTGGCCTACATGATGGAGTTTGCGTCGATGGGCGGGGCATGGTTGCGCAGCGCCTCGCGGATGTAGCCGCTGATGTTGGATTCCGCGACGAGGTGGAAGAAGAAGAGGCTCTCGAAGCTCTTGAGGGAGATGGAGCGCAGCGCGGGCAGCCGCAGCAGCAGCGACGCGAACCGGCCTTCCTCCGCGCTGTGCGACCTCCGGCAGTACTCGTCCAGGCAAGAGAACATCTACAAAACCACAACTCATATTTAACACATTAGCTTTTTTAACCTCAAAAATCTAATCGAATATATCTGTACGAGACACTCTTACTAAATATTACAGCACAGAAAAGTTAGTGTTATTTATCTTACCTTTTCCCGAAGAAGATCAACTTCTTGTCGACACTTCAGTCCTCTGACATCTGAAATTATAATTACATACAAATGTTAATGCATTTCTATGATGACACACTATTCCCATATGCCATACAAAGACCACACAAATTATAGCTTTTGTTCGCGGCTTGAAAAGTATTTCATGTGTTGTAAAGCCGTTCTTGAATTATAAATAGTGTAACTAACACGGTTTTTTTTATATATATAGACTAGCTGTCTATATATATATAAAAAACCTAATTTGTGTAGCCAGCCCATCCATCCACATCACATTACATTCGCATTTATAATATTAGTAAATTAAATAAAAAGCAGCTCTTCAAGGCATAAATTAGAAAAAAAATGAATAAATATGATAAAGATCGGATCGGAATAAGTCTCCTATGTCCTTCTCCTGGCTCTAAGCTACCTCCTCACCAATTTTCAGGCATATCAGTAAAGCCGTTCTTGAGTTATAAATAGTGTAACTAACACGACATTCTTTTATATATATATGTGGCCGTATAATTGTTGCCGAGTTGAACACTGGAACTGTATACATTTGCGGGGATCATAGGAGCCTATGTGTTCTTCCAGACTGTACTACATATATACAACATTTTATCTAAATCCAAGCAGCCGTTTTGGATATACTCAGTAACAAACTTCCATCGAGTAGGTACCTGGGTTGAGCAGTATGATGGCTTTGAGTGCGACGTACTCTGCCTGGTCCATGCGCAGCGCCCGCATCTTCAGCGACAGCTCCGACAGCACGCGGTCAAAGATCTGGCCCACGCCCGCCTGCAGCGCGGAGTTGCGGTGCAGCGTCATACCTGCAACACATAACACATCTTCTTCACTACAGTGCGACACATTTACGTGACCCGGCGCATCTTACAAGTGGGCCAAAAGATCCCGAGAAGAGATAAATAGGATCTGAATCCTCCCGCGATACGGCCCTTATGACCTGAGGGTCTATGGGGTCATGTAGATTAAAGGATTTGAATCCTTATCAAAATAATAGTAGTAACACGTTTAATGCTACCGACTCGCTTGGGGAGATAAATTTCTAATAAAAAAAGAACGTGCGTTTTCAACAATATCTTACACTAGAACCCATAAATGCAAATATGTTTATAAAAAATATTTTTTTTTTAATTCTTAATTCTATAAAGTGCAACATTTACCAGGCATTAGACACATGAGCTGTGGCGTGGCAGCGCTCCGCGTGCCGTCCATGTTCTCCCTCTCGTCTTCTAAATACTGAAAATATACATAAATAAACGATTAAAACATAATATATTCGAAGATGAAACTGAATTGTATACAAAAACTTTAAAGTAATTAGCGGTACATACATTTATTCTTATCGGAAAATCTGTATTGAAACGCGTTCTTTGCTTTAGGTAAAAAATTTGCGAAACGTTTCACTAGATGGCGCTACTAGTAGTAAAATCTATTACCTCCATTGACCGCCAGGCGATTGCAAACAGCAACAGTTCGTTCCAGCTGCCCTTGATGAGAAGCACCTGGTCTTCCAGCTCCAGCTGGCTGAAGTGTGGGATGTCCCGCGCCCACACCACCAGCGCCGCTATTTGTTTGTTACCTGAAACCACCAAATAATACAAGGCACTATACGAAATATACACAGACGCGAAGACTACAGTTTGATGACTTTTGGCTAGAGAGAAAATATTCAAATATTAGACTGTTATGGAAAAACATTGAGTTAACATGTCCAGTGCCACCGATTCATTTTGCGACTCCTCTTTCGTACATAAAAATCTTAGTAGCAGTAAATATTTTTATGGATGATCGTTTATAACTATTAATATATATTAGATATGTTTAAATTTACAAATGAAATGGGTTTAAATATGAAATGACTATAAGAAAACTGTCAAAATCAACAACAAACATGGTGTGACGCAACTAGGAATTCCTAATCGCTGTTTTGGATTGGTTTATTAAATTCGTCGACATTTAAAACCGGTTCAATATTATGTATGCAAACCTATTAATATCAAAATATTCATGTTTCGAGTTTTTTGTTGTAATGCAGCATTTGTTTATGCACGGAATATTACATTGTTTTTTTACACAATTCAATATTATTATTTTTTATATTAAAACTAGCTGTCAGACGAGATTCCGTCAGCGCAGAATTTAAAAGAAAAATAATTAGTAGCATATGTGTTATTCGAGACTATGTTCTACGTATATTCCAAATTTCAGCCAGAGCTGTTCTGGAGATACCTTCAAACAAACATCTATCCATCCATCCAAACATTCGCATTTATAATATTATTATGTTTAAGTAAGAAGTAAGATAATAAGATTAGTAAGATTATATTTGTGATAAATTTGTCTTGTTGTTATTTCTTTGGTAATTCAATTCGTGGACGATATCTTCCGGCTGGAGGGATGTAATTGACTAAATATAGCGCTTGTCGGCGCAGACATCCCGCCACTTACGTCGCCTTCCTCTTCACAAATACAATGACATGTTATTGCTGAATTGAAAGAATACGCACCATTTGCAATTTAACGATCATACCAAGTAAACATAACTACTAAGAACTAAGCCTATATCTTCTAGTATCAAGTCTTTAATTATAGGAAATTTTGTATTTTTGGGTAAATACTTAATAAACATAAGTTGAATTAACATATGTAGTCATGATTTGAAATGATATGAAACACGGTCTATAATAAGTCATGGTATTACCAATATAAATCAAATCTTATAGTGGATTTCAGATAATTGTCAACTGCCAAAACATCGAGTCGTAAATTGGTCACAAAAGGAGTTGACAATAACACGGAACAGTAAAAAATAACGAAATTTCATTTGGCCCGACCCTGGCACAACTCCCTCTATACATAATAATAAGAATAAAATTCTGTTTTATCGAAAAAATAATTCATATTACACAAGATGTATTTACGTTGCTGATAACGAAAACCTCATTTTATTGGCCGCAAGGCCTCGTTTGTTCCGGCTAATCTCCAAAACGGTTGGACCGAATTTAACAGGACTTTGCCAGGAAGGTAGCTGATGGATGCTGGCATATTATAGACGTCTATTGAGTCCCGTAGTCGTGTACTGTGTATGACTTACCAATCTGACATAGACTTGAGACGGGCGCGCGGTACCGCGGCGGCACATTGCTCTCTGGGCCCACTCGCAGGAACTGGAACTCCTCGCTGGGATCCGCCACCAGCGATTCCATCTCCAGTAACCGCTCGATTGATAACTCCTGAAACGATTAAATATTCATTTTTAAATAGTATTAAACAGGAAAATGTCTTTGAATGATAGTTCTGTGAATTCATCATTTAAGACGTCATCTCCTAAATTATGTATCACACACAATTCATTCGATCATTACCTCTTTACTCTAATCCCACTTTATATAACCGGCACAAGCAAAAAGAAACAAGCAGGAAAGTATAAAATGTAAAACGACAGACAGCTATTTACATAAAATTTGCGTCTGCAGAAATATCAGCCGTCGATTAAGATTTACTCAAGCATTGATTGAATTGGCCTTTAGACTTTTGACAATTCCGAGTCTCCACTCAAAAATAATATGCGAACATTTTTGCTCAAATATAAAATTACATCATAACTATACACGATTTTACATCGTAATAATTTTGAATGCTTTTCTTCGTTTGTTTTCAGAAAAGACAACAGAACTAAAAGCAAACGCACAATTTCGTGCATGCAAATTCTATTAAAACTGAAACTTAGAACTGCGGGGCTAGACAAAGTGCATTCCCTAACTAACTTCGATCACTGTCGCACATCAGATCCATAGATTTTTGAAATTCATTATGGAATCGTTTCGAAGCGAATACACTTTTCTAGCCTCCCTGAACACCTAAACGGGTAAGTCTTACCGCTTGGTTACGGATACTTTTGCAATAAGATGTTAATCGCTTATAATTGCAATAAAATATACAAGTGATACATAAATAATAAACGGCGGGGCGGCTGAGGGACTGCGACGGCGACAGTCCGCATATTTCATGATGTCACCATTATTATTGTGCTGCGACGTACCCATTATTGATTTAATTCGATCGGCGCTGCGATGCCGGTGCATTGCTCATAAAACACATCTTTACAATGTACGATAATAAAACCCATACATATAGATAAAAGACCGCATTTATCAATTATAGGATTTGCCAGCGACTTTTCCAGCATAAAATTAAAAACAATAGTAATAAATGTAGCTTATGTCATATGTCACACTGGAATAGCTTCCCAATAGTGAAACGATTTTTTTAAATCGTTTCAATTTCAAAGCCTATACCATGCAAAGAAACAAATGAATCTTTACTCTTTATTGTATAGAAAAGTTATTTTTGTTACACGAATATTTCTATAGAAATGGAATCTATTTTAGTAAAGTAACTTCTATTTGATTTTATCATACATTCACTAAAAATACGTTTTTTAAACCATAAACCAAACGAGGTATATTTATTACACTTTCTGTACAGTACAATTCAATAGTTTTGTAAAATAATAGCTTTATAAAACCTTATTTTGATACATAAAGTGTATTTATTTAAAAGAAAAAAAAACGTAATATTAAGCCCTTACCGGTTTCTGAAAGGTTATTGAAATTAGAAGGTCATAGATTAGAAAATAATTATACAGTAAATATTATATTGAAATGTTATAAAATCAACTACATCAACACGAAAGGAAGTAAACACACGCTAGTTTAGAAACACACGGATTACCTAAGCACGAATAAATTTTTTTAAATATTCCGGGGCGAGGCGATATTCAAAACAGCCATTGTCACGTGGCAGCCACATTATAATAATAGTGTGTACACAGTCGAAGATGTTTATTCCCTACCCGTTTAGGTGAAATATCATTTTACGCCCACGACAATTAGGTCGAAAACATATCATATCATCATACGTATGTGCTAAAATATAGCTCTTATGGTGATATTTTGATGTACAATATTCGATCTTAAGTGGGAATAGAATTTAATTCTTTAGCTATACATGTGCGCAGTACTTTGTGTTCGCAATCTGATAACGTTTGCCCTTGGACGATACAAACATCCCAGGAAGTCACCGCGAATAACAAAGGGTGGCACGAATTTACAGTACATTGTATATGCCTACAATCATAATAACATTCATAGTGAACTGATAATTGAAACATATAAACATAGTAAAATGTGGACGGCCTTAAATAATTGCCATTCACGTAATTACATCTTTTACTGACTGAGTGCCGTAATTAGTTTATTACACATCTTACTAATATTATGAATGCGAAAGTTTAGATGTATGGATGTTTGAAGGTACATCCTAAACGGCTTAACGGATTTCGATGAAATTTGGCACACGTATAGAACGTAGTCTGGAAGAACACATAGACTACTAATTAATTTATTAATTCCACGCGGACAGAGTCGCGGGCGACAGCTAGTATGTAATTAAATACGAGTGTACTGTGTATTGCAAGTATAACATAGTCTATATAATATAGTCTGGCTGTCTGTCTGTGTGCGAGCACGGGCACGGGTAATAAACATTTGAAAGCTCCACGCCGACCGCTCTGAGTTAATTACCTGCGATACTTTTATTAGACGCTTTCAGTGTTTAATTAGCTGGAACTAGTCGTTTGAAGACATAAGCGACTCGTAAAATTAATCAAAAGGCACGTATAAAACACTTTTACTTATCTGTAGCGAAA